AATCTATGCTTTATCCGTAAGATTATCCTAACTCACTTCAACACTATTAAAATTGTTATTATAACTATTACTATTGATATTAGTCTGTTTTCAATTCTCGTTATATTCCCTAATGACTAATTGTTTATCTAAGTGATGTAATTGAAGCGTAATGCAATTTATCTTAATTTCGATCTCTCATACTCTCTCTCGCCTTATCTATTTGAACATGACCTGTAAAACATTCGCACGTGTCTTTCTGCATGACTAATTCAATGTAAATTATTTACTTATCAGTCTTATATCTCCCTATGTAATTTCAAAAGTATATATATCCGTGTATGTAGAGTATTCAGCTGACGAGTTCTACCGAAATTTGATGAATTCATTAAATCCTGCTTTATTAACCTTTATTGCTTGTTTTAAATTCGTATCGGGAAATAAATGTTTTCAAATAGCTTTCTATCGGGAGTCAGTAAATGCTCTGAGTCTAACGGTCTTAAACTGAATCCTACCAAATGTTAAACTGTTCATTTCAGCGTAAGATGTAAAAGACAGTTAAAAGATGCCGTCGATTCTCATGACAGTTGTAAGACTGACAACAATGATATAGGAATCAAATCAGAAATTAAGTATCTTGGACGTATTCTCTATTCTGATCTCTCCTGGTCTTCCCATGTCTTAGCAATCTCCAGTAAAATATCCCGCCTGACATTTTACATTAAGAAGTTAAAGCACTCGAATATATCTCAACCCCTCCTCCTCTTACAGTTCATAAACTCTTGCATCCTACCTATTCTTCTTTATTATTCACTCTTATTCTTTCCTGGATTGCTTAAAAAAGGGCTATGTCACAATTCGTAGAATACCGAAAACTGTCAGTAGGGTGAGGGGTGTTCCAGTGGACCACATAGTTAACGTCGTTGTCGACAGGCACTTGACTTCGTGCAATAAATTTGCTAGAGGGATTTTGTCTGACTTGGAGCATCCACTTTACCCTCAGATTTCACCTTTCATCTCCTCAGGTAGAACAAGAAGTAACTTCGGAAGACTGTATGCTCACACGTCTAAGTATACAAATTCTATGATACCATACTTGGCACATATTTTATGCGATGAAAATAGTGTCAGGCAATAATAATAAATATTACTGTCAGTTTCTTGTCATCCTATTTTATTCGAAAGCGTCGATCTAGAGGTGATTTGGCAACTACTTCGCCACTACGGGCTGCCATCGACAATTATACATCTCATCCAACAGTTATGCGACAATGCTGCATGCCAAGTAATCCACGATGGGAAACTTATGCAAGCCTTCGAAGCCAGGACGGGAGTAAGACAAGGCTGTCCACTATCGCCAATGATTTTCCTGATTGCAGTAGACTGGATAACGCGACAGACAGAGAGCGGGCAATGAGGAAACAGGCATCAAATGGAGTCACACTAAAAGAGACTTTGAGGATCTGGACTTCGTCGATGCGATATATATGTCTGATTTCCTACAAACTAGAAGATATGCAAGTGAAAAGCAACAAGTTCACAGAAGAAGCATCAAAGATGGAAAAGACCCCAAGTGAACACAGATAAAACAGAGGTGATGAAGATTCCTGGCCAACACCAACAGCAGCAACAACAACAGACAACAATTAGCCCGCCTAAATGGGAGGTGGAACCCGAAAGGGAGGCGGCGAGTTGGTCGTCCAAGGGTGACTTGGAGGAGGTCATGCGAGGAGGAGATGAAAGCATGTGGACAGACCTGGAGCAGGGTGAAAAAGTTGTCAGAAAACCGAAGTCAATGGAGGTGCGCAGCTGAAGCCCTATGTTCCTCTAGGAACTAAAGGATACAATAATAATAATAATAATAATAATAATAAATGGGAGGAACCTGAGAAAAACAACCTCCTTTACCTACCTACCCGGGAAGCATCGTTGTTTCAACTGCAGGCGGAACTGACGAGGATATCAAAGCCAGAATCCGAAAAGAAAGACAAGCTTTCATTACTCTTAAGTCTGTGTGGATGTCAACAGCACTCAGCATAAAAGCCAGAATAAGATCCGGATTTTCAACTCCAATGTGAAGTCAGTCGGTGCTACTATACGGATCAGAGACTTGCACTACGCGTCATAAAGAGCATCTCAAACAAACTAGAGACCTTCATCAACAGCTGCCTTCGCTCAGTACCACTCAGGATTAGATGACCGGCCAGAAAATATCAGAAATAATTAAGGATCTCTGGGAGTGAACCAACCAGAAACCGATTGTGCAACAAATAAGCAGGAAGAAATGGAGATGGATTAGCCATACTCTGAGGAAACCATCAAGTGACATCACTAGACAAGCCCTTGAGTGGAAGGTCAAAAGAGAAGAGATGAGTTGGTCATTCAAGGGTGACTTGGAGGAGGTCATGTGAAGAGGAGATGAAAGCGTGTGGGCAGAGTTGAAGCGGTGAGGAAAACGTTGGCAGAGAACCGAACGCAATGGAGACGCGCGGTTGAAGCCCTATTTTCCTCTAGGAATTAAAGGAAATAATAATAATATCTTATACTTGCATGAAACTCTATAATATCTGAGGCGTAGTTATCGAATCAACACCTAATGCATCTACTGAATACAGTAAATAATACTGTTTCACTGTGTGATATATCTGTCCAGTAGACAAACTAATATGGAATTACCTACTACCACAGTGCCCAAGTTTTACACACACATATATTAATACCACTGTAGCAAATAAGGAAGAAGAATTAGAGACATAAAAATCAAATTTCGTAGTTTTGCAGTTACTATTGATGATGATGATAAAGACTATGATTAGTAAATTGTGTTTGAAACTTTGTTAATTTCCGTAAAAGGTTTGAGCATTGTGGTATAGATCAAATAAAGTATAATTATATTTCAATGGTTTACAAACAATGATAAGTATTTTTGTTTTTTTTTGGTAATACTTCTAGCAAAATTACTTACTGACCGTGTTCACACCAAATGTTGAAATTCTTTTGCTTTTTAGTTCACCCATGATTTGTATTCACACATCTACTTCTGTTTTCTATTTGATTGGAGGATTTCATCACGAGCTGTAATCAGTTAGGGAACCATTGGAAAACCAGCTGGGAGTATTGAACAGCTGTTTCCTAGTTGTCCTAGTTTGGAACTCTTTTTATCAGTACACACCCACCGATTGGGTTTCGAACCCAGGATCTTCTCGTCAGAAGGCTAGTAAGCTCGTATACCATTAAGCCACTGGGACCCGATGCACTGGCCAGTGCATGAATTCTAACTTCTGCCAATTCATTTTTGTGTATTCTAGGTTGTTGAGAGTTGTGCTGCTGAGTCACCCTTGTTCCATGTATCCGGTATGACCTTCATGAATATAGATTCTGTTATTAGTAGTCTTTCTTTCCTTTTATTCATATTAGTTTTTAAAATACAAACATTGTTCCAATCGATATTGTTGTTATTGTCCCTTGCATGTGCAGCTGTCGATGAATTTCTTTTCTGTTGTTGTTGTTGTTTGACCTTTAGTTAGGCATTTATGTTGATTCACTCTTATTTTGAGTAATCTGGACGTCTGAGCCACATATTTAGTCGGAGAGGCGGCACAAGATATCAGTTTGTAAATTACAAAACTGGATAAATACCCTGCTGATGTCACCTCCAACTGCGTTTATGAATTCACGTGCACTTGCGGGAGCAAGTACATTGAAAGGACAGAAAGAAGGGCTTCTATCCGGTTTTCTGAACATATTCCCAAAAACCTGTGCCTGAAAGGAAGCAAATATTCTCAGAGTGCAATTACCAGACACACCTTGTTGATACTGGTCATCTTGTGAAGATTTGTAAGTCCTTCAAAATATTAAATAGACATTGACAGCAAATTTACCACGATTTGACGAAGCGATCGCAATCAAACGACTTAAACCGGACTTATGCATACAGAAAGAGAGTGTGATTAACCTCTCACTCCTTTGGTAACAGAATTTTGATTAGTCATCTAATTCAGTGGTCTTAACTCACTGAACAAATCTTAATCTCATAAACTGTAACCGATTTTATTTTTGGAGTTGCTATTTGAACCTACATGCTAACACTGTTCTGTTAATCAATTTTTTCTGTTTTCTGTCTTACCCCTCCCCCTCTTTTCAACTTTAAAAGCGTATAAATTGATGATGAAAACTTAAACTAAAAACATTGTAATGCTTTCATTTAGATGCGTCAATTTTATAGTATCTCTTCTCTACCACCACTCGAACATTGAAGTATGTTATTGTCATCTATATAACCATTGTAATTTCAGGTAGTCTGCAGCTGATGAGAACCTGTGAAATAGAATGATATCATTTTATACTGCAAATTTCGTCTTCCTTTCTTTATCGAAAATTACATTACTACTTTTATCCATCATTTTTATGGGTTCTTTCAGTTGATTTATCTTATTTTTAATTAGACTCGTCGATTAAAACGTGGTGCGAATCCTAAAATTTTGAGGTTTCTTCGAATTGCCTCTGGTGTACCATTTTCGTTTGGTGTTTTGATTGTTTTTTACCTTCCTCTTTCTTGTCATTCTCTGGTTTTACCCTCTTTTTTCCTCTTCTTTGCATATATTATCTCTGATAAATTCTTTTGGATAGTTTTTGTCGAGTAACATTGTGAATAAGACGTTTAAATCTTTACGCTGGTCCTCTGGTGTTGTTGTAAGTCTACGTATTCTGTCTGCAAGACCTTCTGTTAATCCTCATGTTACCGTGAGTAGATGAGCTCAGTAATAATCAAGGAATCCTCCAGTATGTGTAGTTTTTCTAAATACCGTCATCCAGTAAATAATACTGTTTCACTCTCTGATATATTCAATATTATTATTATTCCCTTGAGTTCCTAGTGGAGCATAGGGCTTCAACTGTACTTCTCCACTTGCTTCTGTCTTCTGATGTACTTTTCACCTGCATCCATGTTAGTCCATACTGTTTCAACTCCTCTCTCTTCACACGATCTTCTCCTAATCACCCTTGCACTGACATCCCACTTGCCTCTCCCCTTTCGTATTCCACTCGAGGGCCTGACGCGCCATATCACCAGCCGGCCTCCTCAACGAGTGTCCAATCCATCTTCACTTTCTCCTGCATATATATTCAATAAATAAATTACCATGGGATTATATATATTATTATACTACCCAAATTTTAAACATACAATAATCCCCTTTGTGTTGTGATCACTTTTCATTTTAGATGAATTAACAAGTTAATGCAAACAGATTCCATCGAAAGACAGACAAAAACAGAATTATAAATGGATAAAATTAAGAATATAATTAACGACTTACAAAATGAAATAAATGAAAATAAAATTATTCCAAAGTTAATAGAATTATACAACATCTATTCATTAAAACAAAATAAAAATCATAAAGAATTAAATAATTATCTTTTAAATTCAATTTTACCGCTTCTACTATGCAATTGCATAAAACAAAATTTTTCACAATTCAATGAAAATTGGAGCATTTCATATCAATTAAGTTGTTTTCTATTAAATTTAATTACATTCAATAATCAATTTAAAGATGTGAAAATTTCAACCGATTTATTAAAAAATATTATTGAATCACATTTAATTTTATTAAAACGTTTACAAAAATATTATCACTTATCATCTATTGAATCACATTTAATTAAAATGGAGACGTCTAAAGAAGATTGTTCCAGTCTAATTCAGTCTTTACTTATAAACATTGAAAAGTTGATTAAACACTTTGAAATAGTAGCCCCATATTTACTACTTAAATCACCATGGTTTTTACAATTATTTATATCAGATAATCAAGATTTTTTTATCTTATTAATTCAATTATTTACTATATGCATTGAATTGTCATGTGATTCATTTAAACAATTAAAGCATAGTATAAGAATTGATATTTTAGATGAATTAATTTATCATTTGTCAATAATTGATATTTCTAAAGATATAGAATCATTGTTAAAGTAAGTCAAATTGTTATTTATAAATCTCTTTTCTAAGACTTTACATTTATTTATTTGAACGACAACGTTGTATTATCAGATCGGTTGAGTTTATAAGCAGTTAGAAATCACTGATCCTAATCAATAATGACATGCTCACTGTATGAATGGATATGACTGTGGTCAACTTCGATGACTTACACATTGACTTTTTATCAGGGGAAATGTCTCGACGATTTAAACTCAATAAAAAAAACACAAAATAAATGAGCCAGAAAAGAATATTCCTTCTCGATAAATTCCTCCTCTTCTAGCTCTACAATTGTATATGCATGTTTATATACATAGAATATTCTAGAATAGTAATCATTAACAATATTAGTGTTTTCTAAATAATATCGATTTGGTAAGTAAGATCAACGAAATTACAGTTCACGAAAGATGCATAACTTATAATAGGCATAAAAATGTAATAGCATATAGAATATCAAAGCAAATTAAGGAAATTTCTATAACAAATTGAGGATCACTCGAACCTAGATGTCCAAAAGTTGAGGACAATGTCTGAACTAGCTTGTTTTTGGACGCATAAATTAGGCTTCTTAATGTGTAGACTAATAGAACACAGAAGACTGTCTGTGAAGGAGGTTAGTATTTATTGCTTTATGAAGAGGACAATGAGATCAGAAATTCTCCTTATTTAAAATAAATACTAAATTCACATGACGAATGAATCACAAGTTTAAAATGTGCAATCTATGCACTCTGATTGGATAAAATATACACGAAAACAAAAATTCACTGGCGGTAATTTTAATCTGCAGAAGGCTTGAAGGTCTAGATCACAGATTACAAATGACAATAACTACACATAAAATGTCTCCAGCATCTTACAAAAACATCTAATCTATTTCATTACAGATAAGATATTATTTTCATAAGTCACACAGTGTTTGTTATACAGTAATAATAACTGATGACGTTTCGAGCACAAATTATTACTGCTCATAATCGTATCAAGTCACTACTCACATAACTTTTTACTTCATTTATATACATGTGTGGAATCGATTAGATACTGGAATAAAAATCAATATGAGATAATATACATTCAGAAATAATAGTATGAGTATCATTGATCAATTACAATCAGATGGGAAATAAGACGAGTGTTTTTACAGTCAAAATAAGTAACTTGTTAAAATGTTGTGATGTGTTTGAATTAAATAGAATTTTAAGATTGTTTATAGTCCTCCTGTGATTTGACTGACTGGTGGTAATAATATCTTCCATATTTCTGGTATTTGCATTACGTCATTTCTGTTGCATGTGTTGGGTGTAGACTAGATGAACCAGGCATGATTCAGTAATCAACTTCTCTCTCTTCACCTACATAGATTACTTCTTAGGATCTTAACCCTCTCCCACAATATTGTGTGGTTGTGCCCAGTTAATGCATGTAATGCTATTGCTGGGCTTTTGTCTAAATTACCTATCTTCTCGGGTTCAACCATTCTTAGCTTAGCCACTAAATTCTTATGTTCTGACAGTCTGACTACCCGCGACCTACTAGTTTGACCTGTGTAGTTCACTTAACTCACAGTCATTGCAGGGTATTTTGCAAAATTATATTATTTTGTCTAATTGGGTCAACCTACAGGGTCCTTTAACCTACAGAGCTTGTCCCTGAGTGAGTTTGTAGGTTTGAATGCCACTCTAATTGCTGATTTATTTAGAATCCTACGTAGGGTTTCAGATGTCCCCTCTTTATATGGTATAACTGTAGATGTCTTATATTCTCTCTTATTTATGTTATCACTACTAGTTTCACCATTATTATTTTCTCTTGTGACCTCTTTTGATATTCCTAATGAATTGTATAGGATAGTTAGTTATTTAACACCAAAGCCTCTTCGATCTGTTTTAGTTCATCATTTAGGTCTTTTCTTCTTATACTACTTAGTGCTACTGCTCGGTTTGTTAGACACTTAACTAAGCCTGCCTTAACAGTTAACAGACGATATGAATTAAAGTCTAAATATCTATTTGAATGTGTTGACATTTTATAAACACCAGTTTGCAGTTTACCTACTTCTATTCGTTTTATTTTACAATCTAACATCATAGCTAATTCTCCTTGTTCATTTTCCGCTTCAAATGTGAATTTTATTCCCTCTATTAGTAAGTTTATGGATGTGTGTCAAGAAGCTAGAGGGAGATATGTTCTGCTTTTAACACTCGTCTTATTGCCTATCTGATTGTAATTGATCAGTAACACTCGTATCATTAATATTTCTGAATGTACTTTATCTTATATTGATTTTTATTTAAATATGTAGTCAATTCCACCCATGTATATCAATGAAGTAAAACGTTATGTGAGTAGTGACTTGATATGATTATGAGCAGTAATAATTTGTCCTCGAAACGTCATCAGTTATTATTACTGTATAACAAACACTGTGTGATTTATCAAAATAAAATCATATCCATAATGAAGTTATACTCTACTACCACAGTGCCCAAGTTTTGTACTTATATCTAATCTATTTCCTGTTGTTGTTGTTTTTTTCTAAAATTTTTTTCTCAGATGTTTTGTTGTATTATTGAAGAATATACCAGAATTGCGCGGGACTGTGTTGAAACGTTATCGTGGGATTCAACTCTTACTGACAAAATGGTTAACACATTTTACTCAGAAGGAGAATCAACAGAAATCTGATAAAAATGTCACATGTAAACAACTTCTAGGCGAACTGATTCATCTAATTGATGAATATAAAAAATCAATTAAAGAAGACGAAGAAAAAGTTGATGAAAGTGTCTGTGTGAAGAAACAGTCCAAAAAGGTTAATCTAAGCCAAGAACAAGCTGCAATAACTATCCAATCTGCCTGGAGAGGATATTCAGAAAGGAAAAAGTTAAAATTTATGAGTAAAAATATTGCGAAGTTTCAGGTAAGTTATTCTATTGATTAACGAATATTTTCAAGTTTTGGATAGTGAAGAGGTTAATTGGTCAAAGGTTCGATCACTATCTGATATCAGATAGAAAAAAACTGGAAACCATCTTGGAAAGCGGTTTAGTCCTGGTGTGGTGAGAGCTGGCTGTTAGTTAAAATGGTGGGCTTTGCGTAGGCGGATACAGTTAGCATATAGATGATCTGACATTCAAGAAACAACCACAAAGAGATGCAAGGTTAACTTTCTGTGAGAAACAACCAATCAGAAGACTGTGTTTTTCTGTTAACAATAATCTATAATAATGTACATTAAAATATATAAATACGTATTGGTTTCCTTAATAAAGTATCTTTTGTCTGGCCCTTGTCTTCTGTTGTTACACTGGTACGTAGGACTCTTTAGCAGGATGCAACTACTTGGATCTCGAATCCACAACTTTCCGGCTGTGAGGCCACTGGAACGAAGTTGAGTCATCTATAAATTTCAACTTCTGCTAATTCGCTACATGTAGTGTACTGTTGAAGAATCCCGAGTTAGGACGAAACAGGAGCCCAGTACACGCTGATGGTTTTTAATGATTCTCTAACTGATGTCATTTAGTGACCGAACCTGTAACAAGTCAAATCCCTGCACACCAATGTTTGAAAATAATTCTGATGCTTACTATTGACTGGCTGTATACTGGAAATTACCCGGAGTTCTAATGAGAAGTCGTACCCTGCGGGATCCACCAAGCTGAGTAAAAGATCAGTTATTCACCTATGACATTGGCTGGTGGCTTCCGTGTATAACGCGAACTGGTCGAAGATAGTATTCAAAGACCATTTGACTTCGTCTAAGTGACTGAATGCAATAAGAGCACACCTTGTAACTGGGAGGCCTTGAGTTCGAATCCAGTGGATACAGACTGTTAAAAGGGGTTTAGAGCATAAAAATGTCAACTGAATAACATTCTACAAAATGTTATCTTGATCAATTGAATGCCATGATCTTTCTTGAAGTTCATGGGCAGCTGTGGTTAGACAACATCTCGTAAAACTACTGGTCACCATACTAAATTGCATCGTGATTTGTATATCCTACTGGCTTATGTTGTCTGGTTCTAGGGTTAGCAAACAATGATCCATATGAAATTTCGTGGTAAGGCATCAGAGAGAAATATCCTAGCCACTAAAGCCAGTGTTTCAGAGGACTGTCATTTATTGAAAGGCAGTCACTCAGTCTGTCTGAAAAAGGCCTATGAAAGTCAAAGTTAAGGATACAACAACATATAGTCTTATTAAACTTCCTCCGATTACTTTCTTATTTCTGAAGTATAACTAGCAACACCAATATGGTATATACTCGACTTTAATGAAGGACAATGTACCTTCGATTTACATTAGAGGTATATCACTTTTGATACTGACGTATGGTTAGAAATCTCATCCTTGATTCCCACAATAGAACTTATGTATCTATCCTTATCCATGAACCATTTTGACTGAAACATTTCCTTAGGAGAAACAAGCTTCTTTGTTAGACGTGAAGGCGTAGTGTTTACATGTACTGATATGACAACCTGATTGGACGATTTTGATTCGTCTATTTATGGCTTAGTTTTCTGAGGTAAGACAACCAATCAAATTCGTTCATCTCTTCATGGCTTAAATTCTTGAGTTTGTGTTAAATATGATATACCGTGTAATTTGTTTAATTAAAGTTTAAGTGGTTGTTGTTGTTGTAATCCTTCGGCTAATGAAATTTCCCAGACTGGCTTTTGTTGAAGAATAAATTCAAGTAATCATTTGGTCATGGTGTAACGACGGAAGACAAGGGCTAGGCAACAGATCGTTTATTGAGGAAATCAACAGATATTTATAGATTTTTATGTACATTATTATAAGCGTCATTGTTAGCGGAGAAGCAGCGTCTTCTGATTGGTTGTTTTCTTGATGAATAAACTATTCTGTTATCTCTTTGTTGTCGTTTCTTAAACAGCCCGTTGATATATTTCTCCGAATCGTATCCGCCCACGCCAAGTCTGCTGTGATTGGTTGTTGAGTTAGCCTTTTTTTTGTTTTTTTTTCTCATGGCCAAGATTTGGGACGTAGACATTGACGTAAATTGCTCTCTATCGATTTTGGCTAGCAGACAGCTCTCACCACAATGGAGTCGTGTTCTGGGGTGGGAGGGGGGCGCATCCTAGTCAAGTTAGACGACCCCACAAACCAGTATTATTCTCTCATATAACATATTCTATTCTTCAGAGTTTAGGGTAAAGATTTACCTTGCTAAAGTTGACTCATATGGCTAAATGTATCTTGTTGGATGACGTTTGATTTTTGAAATGACATATCTCGGAAAGCCTACTATTACTCACTGAAGTATAGCTCTATCCAGTCTCAAACTGTAGAAGACTTGTGTCCTGGATGCCACTGGTAGTCGACACTAAAAAATATAGCAAATCATCTTACGCTTATTAACTTCTGCGGGGATACACCTCAACAAGTCAACTTACACAACCTAACTTTATCCATGGACCGAGTGATGTCTCTGATCAATTGTTTGATTACGTAAATATATAAATAAGTTTCAATAAAGCAAGAACAACAGTGGCGGTTTGTGCAGAATAAGAATATGGTACCATCAATATCTATTTCGTTGGCTTCTCATCAGATCAGCTACTCACAGCCTAAGTAAATTATTAAGTTTATGTACAGAAAGGTTTTTACATACTTGCAAATGCTTTTCATGATGTCAGTTCAAAGAAGGTTCCGCGACTAGTGAACAGTGCTCAGGAAATTGCGCTTATATAGTTTTTACATAGGCAGTTCAAGTTTAAACAAAATAAATGTATGCATACAGTGGTAAAGGAGTTAGGTAATAAAGACGAGAGATGCGTAAGATGCTGACAATGGTGCAGTCAAACGTTGACAGATACCCTTCCCAAGTTAACTCCAACTGTGCATACAAATTTACATGTATCTGCGGGAGCAGTGACATTGGGAGAGCAGAAAGAAGAAGAAGACACCTCCGATTTACTGAACAAGTGTCGAAGAGTGTGCGTCTCAAGGGAACAAACTCTTATAATAGCGCTATTACCAGACATCTCTTCGGTACGGGTCATAAAGTGGAAATGGCAAAATCCTTTAAAATTATCAATAGACAAAGGAGCTCAATTCTCCTCAAGTTTGCCGAAGCAATTTCTATCAAATGCCTGAGACCAGATTTATGCGTTCAGAAAGAAGTGGTTATTAGTCTTTCCTTGCCAACCTGGTAACTGGATGTCTTTGTTTTCTCTTTCATTTGATTGAGCAATCTTTGCCTGTAACCTCACCTCCCTTTTATAATTTGTAATTTTGCTTGTCTCCTGTTTCTGTGATTTGATTGGGACTCAGTACATTGTTACCCAATTCATTAGTCACTCAGCATCTTACGCATCTCTCGTCTTTATTACCTAACTCCTTTACCATTGTATGCATACATTTATTTTGTTTAAACTTGAACTGCCTGTGTAAAAGCTATATAAGCGCAATTTCCTGAGCACTGTTCACTAGTCGCGGAACCTTCTGTCAACTGACATCATGAAAAGCATTTGCAAGTATGTTAAAACTTTTCTGTACTTATATATAAACTTAATAATAATTTACCGCCTCTGTTGTTCTTCCTCTATTCAAATTCACCAAGGGGAATAAAAATGCATGAAGTATTCTGGTTAAATACGTTTGTTTAAAATTCCCTCCTCTTCTTTCTTTCTTTCTTATTGTTTCTTTTCACCATACAAGCGACATTTTAGAGAATGTCAGTTGAAAAAGGCAAAAGACTTAGAAAAGTTAAGCCTTGAAAAAGAATTTCAGCATACAATCAGTAGAAATCGTCATAAACGCTACAGGCAACACTTAGAATCTGAAGCCAAACTATGGTCAAGTTTACCGCCACGTTTAGTTGAAATTGCATGGAATAAAAAACGTGAAGAAGCAGCTACAACAATTCAACGATATTATCGTGGATATACAACACGAAAACAGATAACAAGTCAACAAGATTATTTGAAATGTGATAAAGCTGCAAGAATAATACAAGTCTACTTTCGTAAATATCTATCACGTAGAGAATGTCTTTCAACAAGGAAATGTATTCCCCCGGTGAATTCATCAGAAAGTTATATGATGAAGAAAAAGGATTCAGAAGTGATCGACAAAGAACAAATCCTACGGGTAAGCTTTATGAATACATTTTTAATATAAGATTTCTTTGAATAGTTCTTGAGGTGTGCTTTTATTAGTGTCTAATCACACTGTAACAACAGAAGACAAGAGCCAGGCAACAGATAGTTTAATAAGGAAATTAGCACGTATTTGTATATATATTTCATGTACTTTATTATAGCTTATTCAAGCAGAAAAAGTCTTCTGATTCGTTGTTTCTTGCTCAAGGTTATTCTGTACTGCTTGTGACTGGTTTCTCAGAAAGTTAAGCCATATATCTGCGAATAGTATTTACCCACGTTAAGTCTGCCGTGATAGGTTGTCGAATCAGTCTTGTTCATTTTTTCTCACGGCCAATATTAGCGACATAGACATTGACGTAAATTAATGTCTACCAATTAGCTGGCATCCTGCTCTCACCACAAAACTACCCACTACAATCCTACAGGAGGTCGATCGCGAGCCCGAATAGCTCAGTTGTAACTTCTGTGACTGTAGCACTGAACTGGGTGACGCGGGCTCGAATCTCAGAAGAGACATGAGTTCCTTCAAGGTTGCAGATGTGCCTTGCTAACGAGTGCCAACTAGCGCGAAACCTAGGTCCACGACTTCCTGAGGTTGATTGCCTCCAACTATCTGATATCATCAGGTTTTGTTTGTACAAATATTAGATGAGGACTCACCAGTTAGCAAGGGGAAATATTCGAAGTCGGTACCTTGTAAATGAAAGTCAAGTGCTTGAGCCGATAAGTCAGAACTTCACAAGTTAGATCTTTTTTAGCAGATATAATCATGTCCAACCCTGAAAGAAACAAAGTTGAAGCATGCAATCGAAGAAAAAACAACTTCTTACCGTCGATATGTCGATGACACATTTGTAGTTTGCAACAATAAATGTCATGATTTCCACTTACTCAGGTTATTTAATAACGCACATATCAATATTGAATTTACTATGGAATATGGAAGCGATGGATAGTTCCACTTTCTCAACAGTGCCATGCAACGCCTGGAAGACGGTAGTCTTCAGAGGTCAATTTACCGAAAGCCTACTTGGAAAGGATAACACTTACATTTTAATAGTTTTTGTCCAAATAGCTTTAAACGTGCACTAGTCAAGACTCTTTACTAAAGATTGGTGACAGAATTTATCCATTGGCTGACATTCGTTAGAGAACCTGGGAGTACTGGACGGCTGTTTCGTCCTAGTTCGGGTCTCTTCAGTAGGACGCACCCATTCATGGGCTATTGGAACTGGTCCCAGTGGCTTAATGGTCTACGAGCCCGCCTTGTAACCAGAAGGTCCTGGGTTCGAAGCCCGGTGGGTGCGTGTTGATGAAGAGTCCCGGACTAAGATGAAACAGCTGTCCACTACTGTCTGGTTTTCAATGGTTCTCTAGCTGATATCAATCCGTGATCAACTCATAAAATCGAAAATTGAAAACTAAAATTTTTCACAAGGAACGACTAGTAAAGAGGTTAAGATCAAGGTAGAATAAGAGACTGAACAAACTCTTTCCGTATACAGAGTTCTGGGTTGTAATGACGAATTGCCAGCGCCTCCACTATACAGAAAAGCCGGAACCTGACACCTTTTGTACCGATTTGTCTCACCTTATAGATGATCTTGAAAGACAACTCTAGTGGAGCTGCATGGCTTCAGTTCATCAAGTGCTCGGGAATTCAGCTAGTAATTTTCTTGCGTTGTCCTTTGGTTAACCATGCCGGATAATGTTCAGAGATGCGTTGTGAAAGTGTGCGGCTGCTTTGTGTGGCCAGCATAACTAGCTTCACATGAACAGGTAAATTTATAAACACATATTGTAGTGGTTAGTCCAAAGTGACAGTTTATCCTTCACACATCCATTGATCATTTATCGGCTATGGAAATTGATCCTTAGCTCAGTCGCAAAAAAAAGAAGGCTTTCCTCAGTGATCTGCATAGGCAGTGATTCTTCAGGATCTCAGCTGCGGTATCACTTTTAAATTCAACACTCATAAATAGCAGTTTTTTTCAGCATCACCATCTGGATTCTTTCAGGCTTTTCCTTAACTTCACGTCTTTCTTGGTAGATCTACATACGACTGTACGGCTTCTGAAGGTGATTTCGTCGATGAAGAAAATTTTCTTCGCTAAATTTGTCTTTTATTTTCCTTATGACTCAATGGGTATTTTCGGAGATTAACGGAGATTACACGAGAAAAGCGTAGTTTTATTTATTTATTTTACTCCTTTGAGTTCTCAGTGGAGTTGATAAAAGTTTCAGTAGCAGTGGGGATTATGATTAACCTTCCCTATTTATTACTACCCGCTGGCTAAATGAGGTTAGAGAGTGCGTCGACCGGGGATCGATGCACTTTATAGTTAACCTACTGGAAGAATCGTCAAGAAGTAGTGGACAGAAATGAATAATTTAAATGTGTGAGCAATCAGATTGTGGAAAACACCCATATGGAAATTAGAATGAAGAGAACACGAAGTTCAGCAAAGATATCTTTACGACGATTTCATTTTCAAAAGATGTACAATCCCATATACCAGTTCACCTGCTCGTGCGGAGTTAGGTACATAGATCATTGTATGATCGTCCTTTCAAGTTGTGTTAGAGAACACTACCCAGCGTGGCTGCAAAGTCGAGGCACCGGTTCAATCAGAAGTGCCATTATTGAACATTTAATCAACACCTCTTACAACATCTCAATTGATTCTTTCAAAGTAATTTACAAAGTCAACAGAAACCTATCAAAAGCAGTATATTTCCGACTTCTCTGTACTGCAGAAGCCTTCGCAATATGCATCGAGAAGCTGGAGCTGCGTGTTCAAGAGAAATTAGTCCAACCTCTTCAACTATCATGGACCTAGTTCGGTATGTTCTCTTAGCTTCCTATTTTTTCTTCTTTCGTTCTCTTTTTCCTTTTTGACCTTTTTTGTTTTCGTTCGCTGTGTGTGTGTGTGTGATTCTTACTCCCTCTGTCTTCATTCGATTATAAAAACAGTTATTTCAAGTTTGTTTCCACGCCTTATCTGTTCACATTTATAATTCGTTTGAAAAAAAACTAACCATTTTACAATTATATCTTAATCCTGTGTAATTTTGTTTCCAAGCCTCTCGTAAAAACCATATCTAGTTGACAATAATTATCACCACCTTTTATTCCGTCGCCGTCGTAATTGCGTGAAATCAAACAAGAATTGTATCCATGTAAAATTATGTTTTTAAATGAGATTGTACAGCTGCTTTTGAAAATGAAATCGCTGAAAGGAATCAGATTGTTGTTCAAAGTGTTATTGCGTAAATACATCACACTTTGTCAAGATGATCTCCATCTTCAAAATGACACTATCGAAATCATAGTCAACAAAGTAAACAAGAACAAACTTTCCGATGTGAAGTGTACTCATATTTTATTTTGAAGGTCTTTTTTTTCACCTGAAGGCAATTTAAAGTATACATCGAAATTGTGAAGTAAAAGAATATTTCCCTTTACTGAACAGAAGTTAAGCATCAAGATTGGAATTTATAGAATTGTGATACAAAGTGGCACAACGGTAGAATGCTCGCTAACCACGCTTCATGTGGTCCGGGGTTCGATCCCCAGTCGCTAACGCACTCCAAAACCTCGCCAAGAGAAGACGTTCAGTGAAGAGACTCTTTTCGACGGCAAATTCATTCACATAGCTGTACAATCGAATTTATATAAAATTATTTGTGTGTGTGTGCATGAGGTTTGTCAAGTTTAGATAATTGATCAGGTAAAAAAAGAATGATCTAATATAGAAACAAGGTTAATCAGACAGTAACTAAAGTAAGATTGGGTTAGTTAGTAAGTTAAATGACGTAATATAATTGACTAAAATGTTTCAACTTATGTTAGGACAGCAATAGAGATAATTACAGGTAAAGACTAAGTAGAAGTGGGGTAGAGAATAATGCCACTTAAATTAGAACTGAAATTGAGCAATTCAGTTGGATGACGTAACACAATTTACTAGAAATTGATAGGTGGTCAAGTCAGTAACAGTGGTAGTGATGTGTACAAATTAAATCGGGTGGGGGTAGAGAACAAGAAAGTTGAAAATGTAAAGTATTACAATTGAGAAGACAAAATATTACTAATGAAGACTCAGACAAAAAAAGATTAGGTAGAATTTACTTGTCGGGTAATAAGATAGATTACGTCTTTTGCAAGTGTAGTGATTGAACGAACTTCTTCTGTATCCAGAGTTCAGGGCTTAGCAAGTGAATCACTATTGTTTTTGCAGTTTGAAGAAGTCTGATTCGTACACCTTGAGGAAGACTATTTCTTACTCTGTAGACGACATTGAAATTTGTTTGGGGTGTAGCTTGGTGTCCGGATTCTATCAGATGTTCTAAGACGGAGCTGCGAGTGCATGGTTTCTCTCTTTTTTAAAACCATGCTGGTAAGTGTTCGATGATACGTTTGGAAAGCAAATGCTGTGTGTACGGCCGACATACCTGGCTCCACACAAGCAGGTGAATTGATAAATACACATTGATGAGGCCAGCTAACTTACTTAATCAATCTTACTTTAGTTACTGTCTGATTAACCTTGTTTCTATATTAGATCATTCTTTTTTTACCTGATCAATTATCTAAACTTGACAAACCTCATGCACACACACACAAATAATTTTATATAAATTCGATTGTACAGCTATGTGAATGAATTTGCCGTCGAAAAGAGTCTCTTCGCTGAACGTCTTCTCTTTTTCATATGACTCAATGGGGATTTTCAAGCTACTCAAACCTCGCTAAGGCACTAATAACACTGGTAATGAGGAAAGGTTGGGCATGAGGCAGGCTAGCAACCTCATTTACGTAAAATTAAACACCACTGTCACAGAAAATTGAAGCCTTTAGTTTGAAGTCCTACGTTCCACTGGGAACATGGTGGCATGGAAATTACCGCTGACACACTGACTGATAATGAATTCAGAAGAATATTTAAGAAGTTTTAGTAAATGTCCTGCAAAAAAGCGTACTAGTTATCCAATAATATACAAGAAGAAAATTACGCAATGATATGCAACGACGCTATTTACCACGCACTCAAGGAAGGAATCGTAGATTTTAAAAAGCCATTGAAATATAGACGACTGATTGACTAAATAATAAGACGATTATCACCTCAAAAGCTAAACGTCTTCGACTCATATCTTGATGGGATCATAAGTGCGCACCGGTAAAGATTCCAGAACTAGGATTAAACAGGTTTCCAACCTTTCTGCTAGGATAAGAGACAAATCTGTTTTCTTAACCGATAGTTCTTCAAAAGGAAGACGAAATGCCCATACTGTATTCAAACATTGGTGAACGGTGACTAACAGTGAAATCCAAGATGCACATTTTGTCATATTTGGGACTCGTCCAACAGCTGGATGTGTCTGCGTTCAGCAGTGATTGATGGTTTCCCCATCCATGCTAGAACCCAGTGCCCATTATTTCAAACTCCAAAGCCTTTCTTATCCACTAGACCACTTGGGCCATGTTAGCCACTTCTTGTGCAACGGGTCATAATAGTTATTTAATTCAATTTCAGATTTTCCGGTCGTTTGACTGATGTCAACCTGAGACTGATAAATTCGGTCCAGTCAATCGACGGGAAAATCTATAATTCAATTAAATAATTAATATGACCCGTTGCACAAGATGTGGTTCTCTTGTAGCCCAAGTGGTCTAGTGGATACAGCTTTGTCTGGTGTTTGAAATTACAGATACTTGGTTCGAGCCTCGGTGAGAATATCATCACTCACTTGCTGGGGAATGCAGGTACATCCATCCACTGGCTGACGAGTCCCAAAAAGGAGGAAAATCTAAAATTGAATGAAATACCTCTATTTTGGCTTAACTTTTGAATATCCTACCTAAGGCGTTAATAAATCATTCAACTTTATTTTTTTTGACCTAAGGATCATCGAAGATGGTGTGAAACTCATCAAGAAAAAATTAGACCAATCAGTCAATTAGAAGATATTCACTATGAACTACAAGGTAAACTTGATAAATATCTACGAAGTCGACGTATAAGTAACATCAAAGTAAGTTTGTTTTTACCGCCTGACGTAAGATGTCATTCAGGCTAAAACACTTCGAATTCTGTACACAGTTGGCGATGATCCACACACCTATTCTTTGAGGACTAGTGATAGTCTACCTGGCTGCGCAAACCTAGATAGCTGAAATGAGATTCTAACCTATGATTCAGTGGTTAGAAGTCGACCTCCTAGACTAAGAAGACAGTAATTCCATATTAGTTTATTTATAAGATGTATCACACAGTTAAAAGGTATCATTTACAGTATGACAAGGTTTCGAACAAAATCTTACACCATATCGGTAACTGCTTTTAGTATAATCGCTATCCTCCTTTCCGGAGGGGTAGGACCCGCAGGTAAAATAGTTCCAACTAGTGTAGCTAGTTGGGTTATTGCGATGTGCAAGCAAGACCACCACGTCAAGGTAGCAGCTATCGGTAAGGGTATTTTATAGTGTGCGTCCGTGGCACAGTGGTTAGGACTCTTGTCGACCATCCACATGGTCCGGGGTTCAAGCCCGCACCGACGCACACCTGATATCTATGGTCGGCCTGCAAAATTTGGGCCACCGATATCCATGCTGAAAATTCCATACTTGTACCGAAAATACAGTGTGGAATCAAGCTGTAAATCAAAATCAAAAAAAAAATCAAAGAAAATCTTTGCGATTCATTTACTGTCTAGCAAGGATTGATTTTAGTGCGTAAGATCTCTGGGAAAGTTTAAGTAGGGCGATTAAGGATGCTGTTAGCTGGCGGGGAGGGGGGGAATAAGATGGTTCGGATTCTATTGCCGACCAATGCACCTATAGATCTCGCCTATTCAGTAGAAAGGGTGAGGATTTCAAAATCGAGCGAGAATCGGGAAGGCGAGAAACACATTGATTCATCAACCTGAAACAACCAATCTGAAAATTTTCGTCACTCAGCCAGCATCAACAACAAAATCCAGTCGGATTTTCAATACAAACGTCGATACGGAACGGATCAGAAACTTGGCAGGCGGGTCACAAAGAATATTTCCAACAGCCTGTTGCAGACGTTACCTTTATCAACAACTGTCTTCTTCGCTCTATACTGAAGATCAGATGGCCGGGCCGGAAAGAATCACCAACAAGAAACTATGGGAAGAAACAATCAAAACAAGAACCAATCGCCAACCGACAAATATGCGGGAGAAAGTTGAGATGGATTGGACACTCGCTTGCTGAGGAGACCGCCGCTAGGTGACATGGCACGCGCGTCAGGCCATTGCTCGAGTGGAACCAGGCTAAAGGGAAGCGGCGAGTGGGTCGTCAGTGCAAGGGTGATATGGAGGAGATGGTGTGAAGAGGAGTTGAAAGAGTATGAACTAACATGGATTCAGGTGTGACGTACAGCAGAAGGAAGACAGAAGCAAGTGGAGACGTGCAGTTAAAGCCCTATGTTCCACGAGGAACCCAAGGGAACAATAATAATAATAATAATCCTTGCGGGCCATTTAATCTTCATTATTGAGCAAAGACAGATGTATCTGTTTTAAATACTTCTGATAACACGTGACACTTCAAGAAGCTATATTTTTAAAATCATCCTTGAAAATTCCCTAATCGATTTTTGTTTTTTCGACTTTTTTTAGAATCAAGCTAGACAAGTAACACTGACAAGAATGAAAATTGATTCCGATCTTCTATTGAATGAGACTACTGATAAAGCAGAGAAACAAACAGACGGGAGTAAAACAATCCCACTGGAGGATATAACATCACCGTCAACAAAAACTACAACACTCAATGATATAGTAAATCGGCATATTCAGTGCTCTGATATACCAAATGCATTTAGTCAATTCTCATGTCGTGTTCAGCCGTTGGCCAGATTCGCTCAAATAGAACATCATGATATGATGTCAATGATGAATTCAAATAAATCCTGGTGGAATATTTTCATGTCAGAGTGGAATAAAAAGCAAAATGATTGGTTGAAATTATACAATGAAAAGAATAATCAAGTGGACTCTAAAACTACTACTAATAATAATAATAATAACCAAGATCTTGTTGACACAGAGTTACCATGGTTACCGGACAAATTTATTGAAGAAATGGAAGAAAGAGAAATTTTATCAAAAATAAATATTCAATGAAAAAATTAAATAGTTTTTTCTACATTTTATGTAACTCTCCGCAATTTTTTATTGTTTAGGTGGCTGATTTTGATCTGATTGCATGTTATTTTCAAGCCGGATTGTTTAAATGCAGAGTTTTCATTGTCTCCGTTTACTAGGCAACATTTTCAGCGCGAAATTTAATATGAATCGTGAACTTATTTGAATTTTCTATGAATGATATGCCGCGAGTGTGGTGTAGCGGTTATCACGGCTGCCTTCCAAGCAGTCGATCCGGATTCGACTTCCGGCGATCGCAAAAGGTTTGCGCTGGTGACACAACAGACGAATGCTCGCCGATCATGCAGGTGGTCTGAGGTTCGACCCCCGGTCACCAACGCACTTTTTTACATCACTAAGCTAGTAATAAGACCGATAAAGAGGGAAGGTTAAGCATGAAGCTAGCAACCTTATCCCATAAAAATAAATACCGCTGCTACCGAAATATTAGGCCTCTAGCATGAAGCCATATGTTCCACTGGGAACGTAGGGAGTATATAAAAAGATTCGCATTGAGTCATATAAAAGAAAAGGCGTTCAGTGAAGAGTGACTCTCCTTTTCGGTAATACTACTCTCAATTTGTACAATCACGCAGAAATACAGTTAGTTGTCTTAGCAACGAAATGTATATTTCAAAGAGGGTGTTACTTAAAATTTACAATTCTAATGATGTCGATATTTATTCATTATTAACGAATTTTCCCATCATTGATTCTTTAAGTATTATTTATAATTTACCTTGTTTCGACGCCGAACTCAGTTGTCGTTGTCCTTTAAATTCAGACGAAATTATGAAGGCATTGAAACTGTGTCTACGCTCCACGTTATTTACATTTAGAGGGGTTCTTTACTGTCAAATAGAAGGCATTCTTATGAGATCACCAGTATCTCCGCTAGTCGCCAATCTGTTTATGCATTCATTAGAAACAAATGCAATTATGAGATACTCTAGTAATGTGGTTAAGATATGTGGATGATACCTTTGTCATAATCAGATGCAGTTTGTTGAATGAACTTTTTTCGCTTAATAAACAATATGTCAGAAACCATCAAGTTTTTCAAAGAAGCAGAGAGCAGAAGATTCCCTGGATTAATTTGAAGGGACGTCTTCACTTTTATCGTATTCAATCGCTTCAACCTGCCTAATTTTTAGCATGTTGCGTAACAAGGCATAGAGGTAAACAATTAACATCCGACAGGTACGAATAGGTCAATCAGCTGTCTGTCTGGATTCAACATAGAACTTGGCACCGAAGTGCAACAGTTCGAGTTGCCACCTTCCAAATAGCACAGAGGTAGACAAGAAGATGAGTGAAGAGAATTTATAGAGTTTGACAGATATAAGAGTGAAACAGAATGGGTAATGGTAGAAAGGAATATGAAAGATTACAGAGATCAGCTAGACACCAGCAAGAGAGCTCAAAAGCACATTTGAATCTTTAACTTTAGCCTGATTATTTTTTCCCCAACCTAATTCTAGTCTGTCTCAAATCCATTCCAATATATCTTGGCCTAATCTATTAATCTGACTAGTTTTCTAGCTGGTCCCATTCCTGGGTAAAAAGAGGAAGAGTCGAGAATGTGGCAAAAGACCCTGCCCTGAAAAATCAATCAAACTGCTGCATAAACTTCATTGTAGAAGACAATTATTAGAAATATATCTTCCTGACCTAACCTTCATATATGTGTAAAGTATGAGCCTACGACTAACGTTTTTACTGCAAGAAACTGTTCAGCCAGAACGCGACAGACAAGCTGTCGCACTGGGCCACTCCAACGTGCATACACCAGTTTACTTGCTCTTGCGGAGCTGAGTATGTCGACCGTACCATGCGCCAACTTGAAAAACACACTCATGAACACTATCCAGCCTGGCTGGTAAAAGGAGAACGAAAAAGGGTATATAATTCAGTGACAGAACATCTGGTAAATTCAGGACATTCAGCGCCTTTCGAAAAATCCTTCAAAATAATATACAAGATTGCATCAAACTTATCAAAGGGAGTAAAATTAAGACATCTGGGCATAGCCGAGGCAATAGCTAACCAAAAGCTCAAATCCATGCTATGTATCCAAAAGAAACACGTCCAAACCTTGTCTCTGCCATGGCCATCATAAACAGGTAATTCTTTTAGTAATGACCATCCCATTCCCTTTCTTATCCAAACTTCCTGTTTATTCATGTGATTTTTAAGTTTTTCTTAATCCCTATTTACACTACCGTATTTTCATATCCGAACTTCCTGTTTACTTTGTCATTTTATTATTTCTGCATATTTAACCCCTAATTGCATAAACAATTATTCGTCACATTAGTTATGATCCCACTAGATTTTCTTATCCAAACATCCTGTCTATTTTGTTATTTCTGCATTTCTAACCCCCAATTGCAAAATGAATGTCAATCTTCTCAGTAATGATGATGCTACTTCGTTGGAGTTTTATCCGTCCCCCTGTTTATTATGGCATTATAATTCCTAGTTGCAATTTTATAAATTTGACCATTGACCGGAAATTATTCTGGAACTTTCCCATCGATTTATTATAAATACACGAATGTACAGCTACCTGGTTGATGACTTCGTCGAAAAGAAAATTTTCTTCGCTGCAACCGTCTTTTTTATCATTGTAGAATATAATTCCATAATGGCAAAAATTTATTTTCATGAATATTCCCCATCCAGACATTAATAAAAACAAAACACGTAGTTCAACAAAGAGTTTCTTTTCGGAGACGAACTGATTCAATCACTTAGCTGTACAATTCTATTGGGTATTATAAGTAACAAGGAGTGGATACATCTGCGCTAACCATTGAGGACTATTTTGAGCTAGCCATATCACCAATTGTTTGCATTTATTGATTTTTACCGTCCTGAGGACGCCAATCAGGAAATTTACATCTTCCTACGTGGCTTAGACTAACTGTTATAGATTTCATTGACTAGTGTCATGTTTTAATTTGACCACCACTAGTAGCTCTTTTCCAACGTGACTAATTCCAAGTCAGCTAACACTGACCGTCAAGGAACCCGATCTATGGATCGGCATGTGTAACACATGTGTCTTAACCACCTTAATCGATTCACCTTCACAACCTAGTCGACTGATTTCCCCTCCCTACCCGAAGAATCAACCAACTTCCAAGGTATGGGCAGCCGCCCCACACACACTGCCCAAGAGTACATGAAGCCTCCACAAACGTTAAAACCTGAAAGTCGTGGGATCAACCCCTGGTGAAAGTGATGGTGGTTATGGGTAGGTGGTAACGCTGAAAAGTCCCAAATCAGGATGCAACATCTGTCTAGTATATTCTTTGGTCTTCAACAGTTCTGTAACTGATATTAGCCGATGGTCTTACAACCATGTCCAAGGACGACACAAATAAACTTAACGGCTATCATTTTATACTGTAGATATTCTTTATATGAATTCTGTCGACCTCACCTTCCAATACTGTGTGTCTGTGTGTACACGAGATAAATATTCACGATTTATAGCTTAGGCGTGAGGAGATCTCAGAATCAAGTTGATACCTTATTATCCGAAAAAAATATATTAATTCGATTGCATATTCAAAAGAAGTATATTATGCAGAAGTGTACAGGAGAGAGAATCACTCTGTATATGGGTTTGAGACCAAATGCATCTATCTACATCATTCAAGACAGTTTTGAGCCTATTCACCAACAATTCCAAACCAACAATGAAAATAAAAAGCGTAGTTCAGCCAAGTCTCTTTTCAGTGACAAATTCATTCACTCACTTAGCTGCACAATCACCAAATGTAAGATGATGTTACAAGACTGGACTACATTGCCACCTAGTTTAGAAATAGGAAGGGAAGTGGCAGAGCACGTTGACCGCTTCGCTTCCTTGAGGAAGTACCATCAACCCCAACGGGTTCATCTCTGACGAAATCTCAGCACGGATACAGAGGGCTAGTTTCGCATATGCCTGCCAGTTTACACCGTCTCTGGCATAGTAGACGCGATATTCGGCTGGCCATCGACCAAAGGGCGGGTACGTCCTCCTTTATGGCTGTGAGAAATGGCCACTGAGAGTGGAAGACATGAAAAGATTAGCTGTCTTTGATCATAGGTGCCTGTGTTCTATCTCCCGTGTGAAGTGGCATAATAAGGTGAGCAATATTGAGGTTAAGAGTCGAGTTCTAAGTATGGAGGAGAAATCAATCGACTAGGTTGTGAAGGTAAATCGATTAAGGTGGTTAAGACACGTGTTTTATACATACCGAGCCATCGATCGACTTCCTTGGCGATCAGTATTAGCTGACATAGGATTGGTCAGGTTCGAAAAGAGCTACTAGTGGTGGTGAAATGAAAACCAACATGACTTCATCAGTCAATGAAATACACAACAGTTAGTTTAAGCCAGTCACGTAGGGGCATGAAAACTTCCTGATTGGCGTCCTCAGGATGGTAAAAATCAATCGCTGCAAACAATTGGTGATATGGCTAGCTCAAAATCGTCCTCAATAGTTAGCGCAGATATATCCACTCCTTGTGACCCAATACCCAATAGAACTATATTGTTCTTCGTTATTACTATTCCTTTGTCTCACACCTCTGTTTACTGTCTCTACTATGTACTCCTTCTACTTTCTTCTCTTGGTTTGTGTGGTACATGGAAGGAGCGTTGCGATTTGAACTGATGCAAATCGGTGCAAAGCTCTGTGTTGAGAACGGACAGACAATATATATATATATATATATATATATATATGGTGTGTACATTAGGTTTGTCCGATAAGAATAAAAATAGGTTGCGGTCTGATTTTCAACAAACTGGAAGATATGCAAGTGAAAGGCGACAAGTTGAAAGTAGAAGAAGCATCCAGAGAAGATAGGACTTCCTTCAGGTGAACATAGAGGAAACAGAGGTAAGTGATGAAGATTCCTGACCAGCAGTAACAGCTAAACCAACAACAACAACAGACAACAATTAGCCAGCATAAATGGGATAAATCTGAAAGAAGCAACCTCCTTCACCTACCTACCCACCTATCAACCTGGGAAGCATCGTTTCAAATACAGGTGGACGGAACTGATGAGAATATCAAAGTGAGGATCATTGGAAAAGCAAGGCAACCTTTTATTACTCTCAAGCATGTATGGAGATCAACAGCAGTACTCAGCATGAAAATGAAAATAAGATGCGGGTTTTCAAATCCAATGTGAAGTCAGTGCTACTTACTATATGGGTAAGAGGGTAGTGGCGATGCATTGTCAAAAAGTCATAGTCATTAATGTTAACCAACACATAAAAAAAGGTGAGTAGGCCTAATACAATCACGTAATACGATGTATAGTTTAGTTAGTGAGTTGTGATCAAGATGCATACAGAAACAAAGGAAAGTATGGAATTGTGTAAGGGTCCTAAAAACGACAAATGTTATAAGGAGTTAGCAAAGAGAAAAAAACAACAAGCGCACAAACATGAAGTCAATAGAAGTCAACACAGCTGTTACCATGACAGTAGAAGTGGTCCAATGATTTTCTTTTCTATGCATAACTCTTATCTTTCCAAATGAATGGGTAAGGCTTCAGCAATACAAGGGAGACAAAAGCGTAATGCCTTTGGTAGGTTGACAGAGGTGGTGTTTGTTGAAATTGAATGACCAGTGTTGCTGACAAGGTGTTCGATTATCTCACTGCTTATACAGCCACTACTACCATTTCTTGTAGCCGTGCGGGATAATGTTCTTGTGAACCCTTCTGGACAGGAAACGCATCGAACATAAACATATGAACTGATCAATGCATAAAGAAGTGGTCAGATGCAAGATCTTGTCCTTAAGACTTCTGCAGATCAATGAACGACTGGAGAACACTACTCTTAGCGTTGCTGACAAGAATGTTCTTTTTTCAAAGAAACTGAAATTCTTCACCTGAGGATATCGCAAGCTAAGTTTCGCTTGAAATCCACATTCATGTGAAGCATCTTTTTTGAAACAAATAATGTTTCAGATATCATAGAGAAGATTTGTAGCTCAGGTGGATGATTTTGATGTGGTTTTGTTCTCTGAGCTGGATGGTTAGTTTGCGAAGCTTTCATCACCTTACTGGGTGACATCTTCAGCGCATACTTCAATTTGAAGTGAGCTTTTAGATTTCTCCACGAGTTTATTAATCATGATTAATAAACTCGTGGAGAAATCTAAAAGCTCACTTCAAATTGAAGTATGCGCTGAAGATGTCACCCAGTAAGGTGATGAAAGCTTCGCAAACTAACCATCCAGCTCAGAGAACAAAACCACATCAAAAAAATAATGTTTCGTTCCTCTGGACATTTGGTTTGATATTCATGTCGATGAATCTCCACGGGTATCCATTTTGGATGAAGGTTTTATTTTGATAAAGTCTCATATCAACTTGATATGATTATGAGCAGTAATAAATTGTGCTCGAAACGTGGTCATCAGTAAATCTTACTTTATAACAACACTGCGAGACTTTATCAAAATAAATTTTATCCATAGTGAAATTATACTAGACCAAAGTGACCAAGTTCTATTCTTAAAATCTAGATTACTTAGGCATAAAATAGACCCACACAAAAACAGTGGAGGATCTGGACTTCGCTGATGATGACATATGTACGATTTCTCACAAACTGGAAGATGTGCGTGTGAAAATCAACAAGTTGGCAGAAAAAGTATCAAAGATACTGTAACAATAGAAGACAAGGGCCAGGCAACAGGTCGTTTATTAAGGAAATCAACACATATTTATAGATTTTCTTGTACATATTATAGATTATTGTTAGCAGAAAAACACAGTCTTCTGATTGGCTGTTTCTCACGGGAAGTTAACCTTGCATCTCTTGGTGGCTGTTTCTTGAATGTCAGATCATCTATATGTTAACTGCATCCGCCTGCGCAAAGCCTTTCTTCTCATTTTTCTCACGAACAATACTGGGGACATAAACATTGAGGTAAATTACTGTCCACCAATTTTGACTAACAGCCTAGCCCTCACCACAATACGACTTTAGGTGAACATAGGGAAAACAGAGGTGATGAACATTCCTGCCTGGCAGCAACAGCAACAACAACAGACAATAATCAGCAAAAATGGGAGAAATCTGAGAAATGCAACCTCTTTTACCTACCTACCTACCAACCTGGGAAGCATCGTTTCAACTACAGGCGGCCTGAACCGATGAGGATACCAGAGCGAGAAACATCAGGAAAGCAAGACAAGCTCGCATTACTCTCAAGTCTGTGTGGAGGTCAACAGTACTCACCATGAAAATAAGATCCAGATTTTCAACTCCAATGTGAAGTCAGTGCTACTTTATGGATCGGAGACTTGCCTCCACGCCACGCCGAGTCATGAAGGGCATTACGAACAAACTACACACCTTCATCAACAGCTGTCTTCGCTCAATCCTACTCAAGATCAGATGATCAGGAAAGATCAGCAATAGTGAGGGATCTCTGGGAGCGAAAAAACCCTGAAGGAAGAAATGGAGGTGGATTGACTGGCCATTCTCTGAGAAAACTAACCATCAAGTGAGTGACATCACACTTCAGGCCATCGCTCGAGTGGAACTCGTCCAAGTGGTTGGTCGTCAGTGTGAGGATGACATGGAGTCGGAGGTGATTTCAAGAGGAGATGAAAGCATGTAGGCAGACGTGGAGCCAGGTAAAAAGCTTGGCGGAGAAGACAACGCAATAGACACGTGCGTCTGAATTCCTATGTTCCTCTAGGAACTAAAGGAAACAATTATAAATAATATACCGCCTGCAGCCAATGGTATCCCTAACAAACACCGAACATCAAGCAGCAGGTTAAAGATGGACACATGTTAAAGAAAGACGGCAGATTGACAGACAAGTACAACAGACAACCCTCCCCCCCCACACACACACACAAAACAAAACTATAAACTAATTCTATACAAAATTTAATAAAGCTTCAACTAATATATCAAATATTGGTGCTATTAATTCTAATCCCAAATAAACAAAATTTTTTAGCATCAATTTTGGCAATTCACGTTTAATGTCACCATCAGTTGTTTCTGCATCATCACCATGATGATGACGTGTAGATGATGACAACTGTTCATAATCAAATTGATCGTGATCATAATCATGATTGAAATGATTCAACTTCATTGTTAATTCTTCATAGGAGAGTGTATTGATATTCGCAGCCATTTGACTTGCATGATAAGAAATCAATGCAGATTTTACGTTATATATCTAAATTAAATTTTAAAAAAAAAAACGAAATTTAGGATTATCAAAAATATATACTACTACTGATACCGATATGAGTAGTCAGATACCACCGAGCGCTGCCTACCAGGAGGATGAAGGTGATCTAAAGACCAGGTGGCTGATTTTCTGGTTTATGATGCAGCTGAGCCACGTTTGTCTGTCTGGTTTCAAAATAGAACTTTGCACCAGTGCGCAGCAGTTCGTGTCACCATACTCCCTCCATGTAACACACAAAGTAAAAGAAAGTAGAAGAAATGCATAAAAGAAACAGTGAACAGGGATATGAGACAAAAGGAATAGTAATAACGAAGAGAAATACATTTTTATTTGAAATTATACGTCGCAGGGAGTGTATGCATCTTCGCCAACCACTGTGAACGAGGATTTTGAGCCAATCACATCACTAATTGTCTCCAGCCTTCATTGGCTCTTACCATCCCGAGGAACCCAACCAGTCAGGAAGTCTACATCTTCCCACGTGACTGTCTGGCTGGCTTAAACTAACTGTTGTGGATTTCATTGGCTGATGAAGCCATTTCGGTTTTGGTTTGGCCGCTGCTAGCTGTTTTCTAACCTGACTCATTCTATGTCAACTAACATTCCCCATCGGGGAGGACGATGGTCACGTTTTATTAGCATTAACACCTCCAAACTCCTGAGGGTGTCAAACCAATTCTAACTAGCCAGTTTGTGAGACCAAATAAGACATACAATAAAATCCATTATTTGAGGATTAAAAAGTTCAAGGAAAGTGTGGAAATTTACCACGCTTTCCGGTTTCCGAAACCAAAATAATTCATGCTTGTTGGCTGGTACTCCTCATCAGAAAGGTATATCTGAAACCATGAAGCAATCGATATTCCCTCAAAGATTCAAATCTTTGTGATGCATTAAGCGAAGGAGTATTAGAACCTGAATCCACTCACTGTAATTTGAATGTTTAAGCAAATAAACCATAGTGTTACATAAAATTACCAGTTGAGACAAGACACTTACGCTTTATTGGTTGTTATTATTATTATTCTCTTGTGTTCCGAGTGGAACATAGGGCTGGCTTCAACAACACATCTCCACTTTGTTCTGTTTTCTACAGTCCTCTTCAGCTGGCTGGCTCCACTACTGACCAAACTCTCTCGTCTCTCCCTCACAAGATCTCCTCCATGTCATCCTAGCACTGATGACCCACTCGTCACATCCTGTTTGAATTCCACTCGAGTTATGGCCTGACCCCTGACCTGAGATGTCATTCGATGGCCTCTTCTGATCTTTTCTGGTCGTCTCATATCTTGACGATTTCCAAGAAAATATACCGTCTTACCTTCTACATCAAGAAGTTAAGACATTCTGGTGTAACCCAACCCTTACTCCTACAATTTGTTAACTCCTGTATTCTGCCTATTATTCTCTATTGTTCCCCCTTAGTCTTTCCTGGGCTATTGAAGAAAGACTATACCTTATTACGTAGGATGTTAAAGGTTGTCAGCAGGGTAAGCCACAGGGTCCCACTTAGCCGGCTTGTTAATATTCTGGTGGACAGGCATATGGACTCATGTGAAAAATGGGCGAAATCCATTTTATCTGACTCACAACACCCTCTACATTCACAACTCTCCCCATGTACCTCTTCAGGGAAAACCAGAAGCCTATATAGGAAACTATATGCCCGCACTAGTAAGTACAAAAACTCATCCATACCCTACCTAGCCCGTGTTCTGTGCGATAAAGAATGCATCAGGCATGAAACCTTTAACTTATTAAATAGTCAGTAGAACCAATGGATCTCGTCTTTCCAACTCACATCATTTATAGGTACAACGTTTTCTCGCTCTTCATTCTGTATTTATTTTTGTTATATGCTGTATTGTTTCTCTCTTCCTTGCAAACTCTACTTAAAACATTCTTGTTCGTTCTTTCACACTCTGTATATCTCGACCATTTTGCTATCGCTTACGCCAGTAAATATGCTAGTAGTATCTACTTTTCTAACACCTTCAAACACTCTGTTTAAATTTTGGCTTTGCTACCGACATACTAATATGTTGTTGAGATAACTTTAATCTATGTAGAAGTATATTTATTGTTAATGTAAAAAAAACTGGATGCAATATTGTAGTAAAATGCTGAGAATTCCATTCTGTATCACAACTACTGATTTGGAATAAAGCTTATGTTATGTATGTATGCCCGATCCATTTCCACTTTCTCCTACATATTTATTGAGCGATTAGCTCTCGCCTGTTGGTGTTTTCCCGGCGAGCCAGCCAGAGTTTCTTGTTGCTTATCCTTTCCTGTTAGCCGACCATTTGATCTTAAGTAGAGAGGCAAGAAAAGCGTTGACGAAAGACTGAAATCTGTTGGAAATCTTTTTTGTGACACACTGGTCAAGTTTCTGACCTTCCAATCTTGTTCTTTAGGCTGAGTCAGTGCTAAAGATTTTCAAACTGGTTTCAGATTGATGAAGGTGTGTCTTACCTTTCCAGTTCTGGCTAGCCTGCTTCGACATTTTTATCCGTCCCGTAGCCTGTAGTTGAAACGATGCTTCCTTGCTAGATAAGTGAAGGAGGTAACCTCTGTCATATCTCTCTAGCTAATGATGATTGGTGCTAGTTGCTGTTGTTGCTTGCCTGTCTTCATCACCCCTCCGTCTTTTCTATGTTCACTTGCAGTCCTGTCTCCTCTGCCAGCCTCTTCAGCCAGTTTGTTGGTTTTCGCCTGTAAGTCTTCGAGTTTGTGTGACATTAGACATATACATCATCTGTGAAATCCAGATCTTCCAGAGTCTTCTTATCGGTCATCCAGCGCCTCCAAAGCCTCAGGATGGTCGGGGGTGGGTACCTTGCGCTGCGGGTTGGCCACCCCTCCGCACACCTCTTGAAATGCTCCCATATGACCGTGCGTCTTACATAGCCTCTCCTGAGGAAGTCCTACTCACTGCCTTCACGTGGCGGAGGTGTTTCTCACTAAAGCGAGAGGGCAAAAGCGGATGCCCGGCGCTCTCAACCGTGTTGACTGTCCATTGGATGACAATCTAGGGGAGATGGCTAAACCCTGATTCCAAACCTTCAACGACTGGCGTATGAAGCTCACCGGAGCTCACCGGCAGACGTATGGACAAAGGGGGCTTGTTGGATGTCCTGGATGTCTGGCCCCATTCAAAAAGGCGTATGAACCGAACTCCGGTCATCGGCTGCCAATGGATAGTGGACTCCCTACTCCACTCCTACTGCCTTGTAGGTCACACTTGGTTGTGTAAAGGCTAGTGCTGCACTCTCAAACAAAAGGCCGAGCAATGTGCTGGGGACATCACTCGTACCAAATTCCCAAGAAACTTCATGAACTCGTTCATGTGGATCACTTGACACGTGGCATTGTCATACACCTGTTGAATGAGGTTGATAAAGACTTGAGGTACGCCGAAGTGTTGAGTTGGTTTTCAAATTACTTCTCGGTCTAAGTTGTCGAAGGCCTTCTCAAAGCCGATGAAGTTAAGGTACAGGTTTCACTACCATTCTATGCTTTGTTCGATGACGCTTAGAAACGTGAAATCCCTGTCATGATCGAAATAACAGAGTTTTGTCAAATGGAAGGATATAACTTGTTGACTAAGGTTTATGAACACGTACGTGATTATCAGTGTTTAAGTCGAATCAATGAATAAATGATCCCACGAAGATAAGTAATTTGAAGAAAAACTCAGCGATCGCACAATAGGGTTGGCGGGACAGAGTCAAACTTCTGAAAAGTAATATAGGTAGATGGAGAGAGACAGATTGACTACTGGTGTAACAACAGAAGACAAGGGCCAGGCAACAGATCGTTTTATTATGAAAATCAACACGTATTTATACATATTTCAGACAACATTATTATAGACAAGCGCAGTCATCTGATTGGTTGTTTAGGTAGACAAACGCAGGCTTCTGATTGGTTGTTTCGGGATTCCTTGACAAATAGAGTTCTCTCTGCGAATCATATTCTGCCACGTTAACTTTGCTGTGATTGGTTGTTGACTCAGGCTTGTTCATATTTTCTCACGGCCCATATTAGTGACCTAGACCTTAACGTAGATTAGTGCCAACCAATCGGCTAGCAGCCTGCTCTCACCACACAACCACATATTATTATTAATATTTCCTTTAATTCCTAGAGGAAAATAGGACTTCAGCTGCACCACTCCATTGCGTTCGGTTCTCTGCTAGAGTTTTCACCTGGCTCCACGTCTGCCCACATGCTTTCATCTCCTGTTCACATGACCTCCTCCAAGTCACCCTCACACTGAAGACCAACTCGCCGCTTCCATTTCGGGTTCCACTCGAGCAATGGCTTGTCAAGTGATGTCACTTGATGGTTGGTTTTCTCAGAGTATGGCCAGCCAATCCAATTCTATTTCTTCCCACCTATTTGTTTCACAATCGGTTCCTGCTGGGTTGGTTCGCTCCCAGAGATCACTAATTATTTCTGATCTTTTCTGCCCGGTCATCTGATCTTGAGTGGTATTGAGCGAAGGCAGCTGTTGATGAAGGTTTGTAGTTTGTTTGAGATGCTCTTTATGACGCGCCAGGTCTCTGATCCATATAGTAGCACTGACTTCACACTGGAGTTGAAAATCCGGATCTTATTTTTGATGCTGAGTGCTGTTGACTTGAGAGTAATGAAAGCTTACCTTGCCTTCCTGATGTTCCTCGCTTTGATATCCTCATCAGTTCCGTCCGCCTGTAATTGAAACGATGCTTCCCAGGTGGGTAGGAAAAGGAGGTTGTTTCTTTCAGGCCCCTCCCATTTATGCTGATTGGGACCCCAACCAGACAACAGTCTACACCTCCCTATACGGCTAGCTCAAACTAACTGTCGAAGATTTCATGGACTAATTCCAAGTTTTCGTGTGACCATCACTAGATAACTCTTCTCCAATCTCATTGGTCCTATGTCAACTGAAACTGATCATCGAGGAAGCCAAGCGATGACTAGGAATGCTTAATACATGTCCCAAACATCTCAAGTGATACACCTTCATAACCCTTTGACTGATTCTCCCTCCTTACCTAGCTCTCGACCGACACCTAACCTCATTATTATCCACTCTATTACACCTACCACCTAACACGGAAGACAGAATGCAGGCAACTATGATCAAAGACAGCTAGCCGGCTAGGCTTTTCATGTCTTCCACTCGCAATGGCCATGTCTCACAGTTATAAAAGAGGGGATACCAAACTACTGAGCAGTACATATGTCCTTTGATCAATAAATCGATATAACGTCTACTAAACCAAAGATGGAGTAAGTTGGCAAATACCACACGAAATCCTTTTATCCGTGCTGAGATTTTGTTAGCGATCAACCCGTTGAGACTGGATGATACAACTTCCCGAATGAGTGAAGTGATCAACACATCCTACCACTAAATTCCTAATCTTTAAACAAGGAGTCGGTGCATTTCAGTCATCTTACTTTTGATAGGAGCGAAATCCCCATCCAGACATTCGAAGATTGGTGCTCAAGGCGTTCAGACGACTCTCTCTCTCTCTCTATGCACTTTATCGGTCTCTTCACCTAGCAGGACTCTATCATCATATGCATATTGTAAGTCAACCCTTAAGTCACTGAAGTCAACCTCCGTATCATTCTCAGAGCCACTCCAAACTCCGCGTTTCCCATTCATGTTAAACCTGAACTTTCATAAATTTATTGACATTAATCTATTATTATTATTATTATCACAGAATACAAAATAGACTAAAGGACAGAATATAACTCACTTGTATATCAAATATACATTGTTCTAAACTATTCAAATTGACACAAGCTACTACTAACATTAGTAAAGGTATTTCAGTAGTATGATGATTTTTTGTAGCAATATTAGTAGTAGTAGTAGTATCATTCATTTCATTGAATTTTTGTACACTGAAAGTGAATTCATCTGGCACATACACTTCTTCAATGCCAATACTTGTTGACTGTTTAATTATAGGCATATTGATCAGGCTACTCAAAGCATCCATTTGAGTAGTATGAATAAGACCTTGTTGATTTATTGTTAAATTATTCTGAAAGCATTAATTTGAAGGAAAAAGAGAAGACAGTAATGGATAACTGATATTTATACCTCGTGGTTTGAGACTTTTTAGCAGTACACACACCCCGATTGGGGTTCGAACGCAGGACCTTCTGGTTACAAGGCCAGCGAGCTCGTAGGCGATTAAGCCACTGAGACCCGATCCAATGGCCAGTCCATGAATTCTAACTTCCAATGGTTCTCTAACCGATGTCAGCTCATGATGAAATCCTTTAACCAATCAATCAAATCCCTACAAACCAATACTTGATATATATATATATATATATATATATATATAACGTGGTTGGGGAGCATTCTACCGCTGTGCCACCGACTCACAGAGTTCTAACTAGTGGTCGTTTATAGCTATTTGGATAAAAAAAAACTAGTGGAATGCATGTATTGTCGATTCTATGTCGGCTTTCTGTAAATTCACCTCTGGAGACTACCATCTTCCAGGTATTGCATGGTAATGTCAAGGAAATGAAACTTGCCACGATTTTCATGTTCTATAATAAATTCAGTATTCGTGTATGCATGACTGAATGATCCAAGTAAGTAGGATACATGATTTTTATTGTTGCACACTATAAATGTGTCATTTGTGACATATCGACATTAAGAAGTTATTTTATCGATTGCAACGTCAAACTTTGTTTAAACCTGAACTCTCTGTGTAAGTAGGTTAAAATTGTTTCAGTATATAAGCCTAATAATGATTTGTTTAGGCTGTAAGCAGCTGATGTCAAACCAACGCAAAATAAACAATGATGGTACTATTTTATTCTGCACCAATCACTCTTATTCCCGTTTTATTCGAATTCATAAGTGGGGGGGGGGCGGGAATAAATGTATAAAGTTAAGCTATTTGATAGCGGACGATTCATTATCAAACATCATAACATGTTCAGTATCAGTTTTATATATTCAAAAGATATCACTAAGTCTAGTGATGAGATCTTTAATCATATATATCGCAAAGTTTGAAGAACACTAATCTTCTCAAATAATATACAAAATAATAATATTAGTAGATTAAAGCAATTAGTTCGATTTATGAATTTAGACAAAGCAATAAGAAGACGTAATTTGTCTGAATCGTGTGTGTGTAATGTATTTGCGCAACACATTTCGAACAATCTGATCACACACACGGACTTGTCATCGAAATATGTATGAAATTAATAAAGAGTTAAAAGGTGCAAAAATAGACTACTTACGTCAAGTTAAAAGGACATATTCAAGGTCAAAATAACAATGAAGACCAGTAAACCAAATAACAGAGATAATAGTAAATCTACCCCAGTTGGCATCAAAACAAAGTTTACCAACGGAGGTGGTTCAGTGTGATGACGAATTGTTGCTTTGTCCGTATAAAGGTGGTTTGAACCTCCTAATCGCTATCTAGGGATTACACAAGCTTTAGGATACATCCTAAACACATCGATCTCTGCAAATAAGGACTGGTTTCAGAGAGTATTCCGAAATGGCTCCAGAAACAAATAGAATCTTCAGAACCCATTAATGGTGTGAACTGGAGACTTAGCTCCTCTATTGCGAAACATATTATAGAGACAGGACATAAAACTGATGTTTACACATCTTTGAAACCTATCTATAAAACGTGTTTGAGGCGTATCCTAAAGTTTGTGTAATCCCTAGATAGCGATTAGGAGGTTCAAACCACCTTTATACGGACAAAGCAACAATTCGTCATCACACTGAACCACCTCCGTTGGTAAACTTTGTTTTGATGCCAACTGGGGTAGATTTACTATTATCTCTGTTATTTGGTTTACTGGTCTTCATTGTTATTTTGACCTTGAATATGTCCTTTTAACTTGACGTAAGTAGTCTATTTTTGCACCTTTTAACTCTTTATTAATTTCATATATATTTCGATGACAAGTCCGTGTGTGTGATCAGATTGTTCGAAATGTGTTGCGCAAATACATTACACACACACGATTCAGACAAATTACGTCTTCTTATTGCTTTGTCTAAATATAAGAAGTATCAGAAGCGATCATGCTTTTACCTTTATAATCCATTGTTGAACATGATCAGATTGTAGGATAAATAAATCTGGATCACCATTCACTGGTGTGACACGTATCAATAACTGACGATGATGATCATAATTGCTTCGATTTAATTCAATCACATACATGAAATCTGTATTCAACGCTCTGTAACAACCAAAAAAACATAAAAATAAATGAAGATATGGATTAGAGTAGTTAATGCATAATTTAAATATCCTCTGATGAGATCTGCAAGCTTGACTGATAAAATTCAGTCTGCATCGAAGATAAGACTAGACACATTAAACCGGTTACTGACCCAACCATTGTCGTTGGTGGGACATCCATCAACACACACGTGACATCTATGTTGAATCCAGATAGACAGACAGACAGATTGGACCTCACTGGTCACGACTTCTCACTAGAACTCGAGGAAACTTCATCCTGTAGCAAGTCACTAGCGAGCATCAGATTAATTTTCTATAGTTTGGTTTGTAAGGGTTGGGGTTACGTTAAATTACGAATTGCTAAAAGTTAGAATTCATGAACCATTGAATCGGGTCCCAGTGTAACAACAGAAGACAAGGGCGAAGCAACAGATCGTTTTATTATGAAAATCAACACGTATTTATACATCTTTCAACTACATTATTATAGACAAGCGCAGTCATCTGATTGGTTGTTTAGGTAGACAAACGCAGGCTTCTGATTGGTTGTTTCGGGATTCCTTGACAAATAGAGTTCTCTCTGCGAATCATATTTTGCCACGTTAACTTTGCTGTGATTGGTTGTTGACTCAGGCTTGTTCATATTTTCTCACGGCCCATATTAGTGACCTAGACCTTAACGTAGATTAGTGCCAACCAATCGGCTAGCAGCCTGCTCTCACCACACTCGTCCCCCCGTCAAATACGTGCGACTGAAGTCGGCTTGATCTACTTGGTGCAGGCGTCATCGTTGGCTTGTCTCGCTGTATCCATTTCTGGAGCTCGCTGACGTTCACGCGCCTCTCATTGTTCGCCATTGCGACTGTGTCTGCGTAACCCCATCTCGAAGTGACCATATATGGTCCTTCCCACTTTGGAAACTGTTTGCCTGACCCTGTCGAACATTCGTCCATACTTCGGCCCACACCTTCATATGCTGCTTTCGCCCGACCTCCCAGCAGCGTCTCAAGTAGCAGCTCCATCGCTGACAGATCTTGAACGCCACTCAACTGCGCAGAAGCCTTGAAGTCCTGCCCGAAGATCCATATGTCTCCATCAAAAACTGCAGGGTATAGGCTTTTCATTTGTCGGTAGGCAGCGACACCAAATGTAACAACAGAAGACAAGGGCGAAGCAACAGATCGTTTTATTATGAAAATCAACACGTATTTATACATCTTTCAACTACATTATTATAGACAAGCGCAGTCATCTGATTGGTTGTTTAGGTAGACAAACGCAGGCTTCTGATTGGTTGTTTCGGGATTCCTTGACAAATAGAGTTCTCTCTGCGAATCATATTTTGCCACGTTAACTTTGCTGTGATTGGTTGTTGACTCAGGCTTGTTCATATTTTCTCACGGCCCATATTAGTGACCTAGACCTTAACGTAGATTAGTGCCAACCAATCGGCTAGCAGCCTGCTCTCACCACACCAGTAGCTGAATGGTATACGAGCCAGCTTGCCTTGTAACCGGAAGGTCCTGGGTTCGAACTCCGTGTGGTGGGTGCGTACCGCCGATGATTCCCAAACTAGGATGAAACAGCAGCTGTCCAGTACTCCCTGGTTGCTTTTCAATGGTTCTCTAACTGATGTCAATCCGTGACCAACTCATAATAATAATAACCGACTGTAAACCCGATAAAGAGGGAAGGTTAGACATGAAGCTAGCAACCCCACCCTGTAAAAAAACATCACTGCTACTGAAACTTCAAAGCTCATACTTCAGGCCTTAAGTTCCACTCAGACCAACGCAAAGGTATGGCTTAATGATAATAATAAAACAAAACAAATTTTTCTTCCTTTAGATTTAAACTAAGCTTATCCTATGTCTTTATTTATTTGATTACTGTTCACTATGAGACCACCAAATCTCATTATTATTTATTGGGCAGGCCTTATGGATAGGTGCTGGGCTCGAGTTTCAATGGGAACGGAATCAATCGCTGACTATACAAGAACACCCAGATGATGAGTTCAGAAATAGGACGAAATGCACACCTCAAAAATTCCACTGTTACTTACCATCATGCACTAAAGTAACATCATGTTACTCTCTCTTGAGATATAATCAAAGCATTAGTACTTAGGAGCCAGCCTACATGTCAATAGAGATGGAGTGGTTACCGGTCAGTCAACTGAAGATACAAATTAACTTAATTAATAATTAACTGTGATCTATTTATCATCCCTAGAACTTACATTCTGTATATCGCATTCGTAGTATTCATAATTTGTCTGTCCCACCCTAGTGAATATGACTCCCTTCCTGAAATTTAGATTTTTATTGACTATGTGGCAAGAGCAAGCTGCTAGCCAATTGGTAGACATTAATTTACGTCAATGTCTAGGTCGCTAATATTGGCCGTGAGAAAATATGAACAAGACTGATTCAACAACTAATCACAGCCGGCTTAACGCGGGCAAATACGATTCACGGATATATGGCTCAACTTTCTGAGAAACCAGTCACAAACAGAATAGAATAACCTTGAGCAAGAAACGACCAATCAGAAGACTATGTTTGTCTGCTTGATGATATGTATCCACATATATATATTTATGTTTGTGTGTATGTTGGTCTCTCTTTCTGTTTGCTCGCTTGGTCTGTGACCATTTCACTTGTATGAACCTGTCTCCTTTAACAATGTATATTCTCCTTATATTATATTATATATAATATGAGTGTTTGTTGACAGTCCGTTGCTTGGTGACATATATCCATATATGGTGGTTGTTGACATGTCTGCTATATTTCGCTATGTATATATGGATCGATACTTCATTATAATTAGCCATTCATGTTAAGACTGTCTAATGATTGTTCACACCCTTGTCTGAACATTTCATATTTATATTTCGTTCTCACAATTTGTGACACTTACTTACTTTGGTGTGATACCACTTATTGCTTCTCCTTGTGTTTGGAAAATAGAAGTATCATCGCAAACCTAGTGGTCTTCTGATTTCCGCCTTCTTGCGTCAGGACTATTAAATTCTCGACCAGTCCATAACAATAATTAAGCGACGAGTACATAACACTTGAATAAGCTATAATAATGTACATGAAATATATATATATATATATACGTGCTGATTTCCTTAATAAACGATCTGTTGCCTGGCCCTTGTCTTCTGTTGTTACAACTATTAATACTCGAATAGGTCAGTTAATTTTCGTTATAATATAGAGCTGTTTTTGTATTTCACAATGAATGAAAAACAAAACGATATTGTTGTTGTTTTTCCTGACGTTTCCCTATTTAACACTGCAGCTAATAGCTTTATCAAAGTAGTAGTATTATTAAACCAGAATTTACAAAATCCACTCAGCTTATATTATATAGCAAACGTAATCACCGTTCCCCAGCATAGGGTTATTTTTGCATTGTTGTTAAATTGGCCAATTGGTAAAGATAACATAACCAGGCGTAGATTAGTGTTGCATTTGATAAGTGTATAAAATCACCAAAGCAGCATGCGTGTTTACACAATGAAATTGCTTATCACCTTCGTGTTGATTTTGTCATTTTATGGGGAGGGAGGTGAGTATATGAGTAAAACTTGGACACTGTGGTAGTCAGTAATACCATATTAGTTTGTTTATTAAATGTATTACACAGTGAAACAGTATTATTTACTGGATAACAAAGTTTATTATTGTTCATAAACATGTAAATTATGAACACAAGACTTCAAAACTTGAGTTCTATAGTCTTCTTTGTTCTCTCCTATTTGTCGTCAAAGGGGTAAGGGGCATCCTGTCTGTCTGTCTGTCTGTCTGTCTGTCTGTTTTCGACATAGAACTTTGCACAAATGTGCGCCAGTTCAAGTCGCCACATTCCGTGTAGCACGCGAAGCAAGAGAAGAAAGTACAAGAAAAGCATAATAGAAACAGTGAGCAGAGGTGTGAGACAAAGGAGTAATAAAGAAAAACAAAACAGTTTCATTGGAGATCATAAGTCACAAGGAGTGGATGCATCTGCGCCATCTGCGGGCATCCTATGTCAGTCAAAATAGGATTTGTGAAATGTTTAAATAATAGAGCACAAAAACTAAGTAGTACCAAGGAAAATCTAAGACAGGAAGTGAAGCATATAACCTAATAATTACCCTGGTAAATTAGTTAGAAAGTATGTAGGGAAATGTAAAAATAAAAATAGAATAAATAATGATAGCAGTGATAGTGATGATAATAATAATAGTAATAATAGTATTAATGACGACATGCATGTCAGACATGCGCAAGACAACACCAACAATACGCAATCTAAATCATAAGTAGTAATTCCATACAAGGCAGGAATAAAAGGGGCTGACGTTCAAACCCCACAGACAAACTCAATTTGAAACAAGCTATGTCGGTTAAAGGATCCTGTGAAGCCTTTAAAACAAAACAATTTAGTTTATCTAATACCCTGCCTGCAATAACTGTCAGGTCAAATACATAGGTCAAACTAGTAAAAGAGGGTCAGTCAGTCAGACTGGCCGAGCATAAAAACCTAGCAGCGAAGTCTAGATTAGTTGACCCGAATAAGATAAGAAATCGAGAGAATAGTTCAGCCGTAGATAGCGTTACATGCAATTTATCGAATCAACTGCAAACATGTGTAATAGGAATGATTCAACCCCTGTCCAGCTGGATATCTGGAAAATTCTATTACCTCAACGACGACAAACAGGAGAGAACAAAAGAAACCATAAAACTCAAGTTTCGAAATCATGTGATTATAATTGTGATATGACTATTTTTATTTTTATTTTTATTGATGATAACTAGCAGTGACATCCAAGAAGCGTGACTAGATAATATCATCGAAAGAAACATGCCAACTAGGAGGTGATATGTCAAATCGATTGAAAGGAATATCAAAATAGTTTCAACCTCATAGAAACTAATATTCTTTACATAAAAAAGTGACACTTTTAGCTTAATACGCTAGCGGATAACGCTTTGTTTGTGCTTTATGGCTGTGAAACATGGTCACTGAAAGTAGAAGGCATGAAAAGCCTGCCCAGCTAGATTTGTTTTTGATTATAGACGCCTGCAATCTATCACCTGTATTAAGTTGTATAATAAGGTAAGCAATACTGAGGTTAGGATTCAGTCGAGTGTTAGATAAGGAAGGAAAATCAGGCGATAAGGTTGTGAAGTTACATCGATTCAATGAGATATGCCTTGTCATCTCCTTGCTCGACTGACGGCCAATGTTAGCCGACATAGGATCGATCAGGTTGGAAAAGAGTCAGGTAGTAGTAGTGGTGGTCAAACCAAAACCAACATGGCTAAAATGAAATCAATGAAATCCATAACAGATAGTTTAAGCTATGTAGGGAGGTGTAGACCGGCTGGCTAGTTGAGATGCTCGGGCTGGTAAGAACCAATGGAGGCTGGAGACAACTGGTGATATGGCTGAAAATCATCGTTGTCAACGGCTGGCGCAGATACATTCACTCTTTGTGATGATTTGTCATATCTAATAAAGCTCTACTGTTCTTTCATATTACTACTCTTCTTTTTCCCTCACTTACACTTGTGTTTATTTTTATCTCTCTTTTGTGGAATCTCACTTTACTTACTGTCTTCTTGTGTGCTTTGTGTGCTACACATGGAGTATGGCGAGTTGAACTGCTTCACAACTGTGTAAATTTCTAGGTTGAGACCAGTCAGTCACTCAGTCAGTGGTGTGTATACTAATGCATGAGTATACATTCATCATTGTCTGTCTGTTTTCGATATAGAACTTTGTACCGATATGCGGCAGTTCAAGTCGCCACACTCCCCCTCCTTGTAGTACACAAAGCAAGAGAAGAAAGTGGAAGAAATGCAAAATACAGCCAGTAAACAGAGGTGTGAGACAAAGGAATAGTAATAACAAGGAGCAATATAATTTCATTGTAAATCATAAGTTACAAGGAGGGGATGCATCTTCATGAGACAGTGAGAACGATTTTGAGCCATATCACCAATTGTTACCAGCCATTGGTTTTTACCGTCCCGAGGATCCCAACCAGTCAGGAAGTCTACACCTTCCTACGTGGCTTAAACTAACTGTTGTAGATCTCATTGGCTGATGGCATGTTTTGGTTTGACCACCGCTAGCTCTTTCCCAGCCTGACCCCACGTCAGCTAACATCGCACGTCCGTCGAGGAAGGCGATGAATACGCATGCATCCTTAACACATGTCCAAACCATCTCAGTAGTTGTAAACTTCACAGTCTCGTCTATTCATTTTCCCTCCCTCTTCACCTACCACTCGACCGACGCCTAACCTCAATATTCATCACCTTACCATACTATTTCACACGGGAGATGGAACGCAGGCATCTATGATCAAAGACAGCTAATCTTTTCACGTCTTCCACTCTCAGTGGCCAGGTCTCACAGCCGTATAGGAGGACGGAGCGGACTGTTGAGCAGTACACCCGTCCTTTGGTCGATATCTAGCCGGATATTACGTCTACGCCAGAGACGACGTAAAATGGCAGGTAAAGGCCAGACGAGCCTTCTGTATCCGTACTGAGATTTCGATAGCAATCAACCTGAGTGAAGCGGTCAACGTGCTCTACCACTTCACTCCCTATTTCTAAACTAGGAGTCAGTGTAGTCCAGTCCTGTAACATCATCTTACATTTGGCGGGAGCGAATCGCATGCCAAACATTCGTAGATTGCAGCTCAAGGTGTTCAGAAGACTGTGCTCTATTTTGTAGGCATCCTCGCCTAGAAGGACTATATCGTCTGCATTTATCAGTAAAATGATGTACTTGCAAGGCATCCTATGCATTATAGAAATATTACTGGATTCAGGAGAAACAAGTCATGTAGTGATCAAACCGCCATACTACGGATAATGACTGAACAAAGCTTGGAATGACAGTCACCTCTCCACCTCACTCAACTTCATCGACTTTGAAAAGGCCTTCGGCAGACAGCGTCGATCGAGAGGTGATTTGACAACTACTTCGCCACTACGGGGTGCCATCGAGAATTATACATCTCATCCAACAGTTATACGACAATGCTGCGTGCGAAGTAAACGGTAAACTCATAGAATCCTTCGAAGTGAGGACGGGAGTAAGACAAGCTGGCTGTCTACTATCACCAATGATTTCCCTAACTCCAGTAGATTGGATAATGCGACAGACAGCCAGCAACGAGGAAACAGGCATAAAATGGACTAACACTTGGAGGATCTGGACTTCGCCGATGATATATGTCTGATTTCCCACAAACTGGAAGATATGCAAGTGAAAAGCAACAAGTTGGCAGAAGAAGCATCAAATATAGGACTTCAGGTGAACATAGAGAAAACAGAGGTGATGAAGATTCCTGTCCAATAGCAACAGCAACAACAACAGACAACAATCAGCATAGATAGGAGGAACCTTAAAGAAACAACATCCTTTAACTACCCACCTACATGGGAAGCATCGTTTCAACTACAGGCGGATGGAACTGATGAGAATATCAAAGCGAGGAACATCAGGAAGGCAAGGTAAGCTTTCATTACTCTCAAGTCTGTGTGGAGGTCAACAGCACCCAGCATCAAAAATAAGATCCGGATTTTCAACTCCAATGTGAAGTCAGTGCTACTATATGGATCAGAGACCTGGCGCGTCATAAAGAGCATCTCAAACAAACTACAGACCTTCATCAACAGCTGCCTTCGCTCAAGATCAGATGACCGGGCAGAAAAGATCAGAAATAATTAATGATCTCTGGGAGCGAACCAACCCAGCAGGAACCGATTGTGAAACAAATAGGTGGGAAGAAATAGAATTGGATTGGCTGGCCATACTCTGAGAAAACCAACCATCAAGTGACATCACTAGACAAACCATTGGTCGAGTGGAACCCGAAATGGAAGCGGCGAGTTGGTCTTCAGTGTGAGGGTGACTTGGAGGACGTCATGTGAAGAAGAGATGAAAGCATGTGGCAGACGTGGAGCCAGGTGAAAACTCTAGCAGAGAACCGAACTCAATGGAGAGGTGCAGCTGAAGTCCTATGTTCCTCTAGAAATTAAAGGAAATAATAACAATAATAATAATAACTCCAAAAAATATGAATAAAATCATAGTCTGACAAACATTTCATCCTACAAGCTTGCCTTATAACCAGAAGGTCCTGGGTTCGAACCCCATGTGTAGTGGGTGCGTACTGGTGATGATTCCAAAGCACTAGGACAGTGGAAACAGCTGTTTGGCAGTACACCCTGTGGCTGGTTTCCAATACTTCTCTAACTCATATCAATCCGTGATCAACTCGTTAAAACAAAACATTTATGCCCCCAAATTGTACTGAAGTAGGCGCCGAGGGCAGGCAGGGAGTGACAATTCGAACCCAGGACTCCCTAAGCTGACAATAAATAAATAATAAATTCTCATCTGAAAGGATATTTTATTTTATAAGTTCAATATTATTTCTTATATTGAATAATATGAATAATAAAAAAAAAGAATACCTTTCTAATTCTTCATGTATTAAAGGACTCATAGGATAATCAGCTTTTCGATGTAGTAAAATATCCCATGAATGATTTATAATGCATCCAGTAAAGATACTTATAAGTAAGGAGAGTACAGCGAACATACTCTACAATATCGATTAACTTTTAATACAAGTTATTTAAAACTTACCAAAGGTAAATATCGTAGTTGTATAGTCTCCATCAGAGGAAAAATATGACAGCTTTGAAAACAGAAATAAAAAAAGGAACAAGAAGAAGCAGAAGAAATCGAAATAATACTCAAATGTGAATAGATATTCAAATTCATTATTATATCATACTGTAACGATAGAAGACAATGGCCAGGCAACAGATGCGTTTATTGAAGAAATAAAGAAATATTCATAGATTTCTGTGTACATTATTATTCGTTATTATTAACAAAGAAGTAACGTCTTCTGATTGATTGTTTCCTTACTGAAGGTTATTATGTACTACTTGTGACCATTTATCAGAAAGTTAAGCCATTTATCTGCGAATCATATTTGCACACGTTAAGTCTACTGTGATTGGTTGGCGAATTCCTCAAGGTTAAGCTTTATTATTGTTGTGTGTTTTTTTTCTCATGACTCTGATTCGGGACGTCAACATTAACGCATAAATTGCTGTCTACCAAATTCGACTTGCAGACAGCTCTCATCACAATACTACTTTATCAAAAACTAGTCATTTTTACAGAAAACAACCAGTACCAATCTCACTGTTAACGGGAGAAATTTGACAGAGGTTACTTCATTCACTCATTATAAAGAAGTACTGTTTCAATTACAGACGACAGCATGGATGAAGACGTCAAAAACTAGAATTGGAAAGGGAAGTGAAAGACCTTGATCATTCTGAAGTGAGTTTGGAAATCTACTACCCTCAACACACAAAGAACAAAATTTGGAGGATTTTCAACACAAATATTAAGTCGGTCAGTAAGTTCTTCTATAGAGGAGTCCGAAGCCGACAGTGTACCTCACGGAAAGCATTTCTAACAGACTGCTGAAGACATTTATTAACAACAGCTAACCAAGTGGCTGACTCCATACTGAAGATCAGATGGCCAGCTGACGGGGAAGCATTAGTAACAACAAACTCTAGGGACAAACCGACCAGCACCCCTTTGCTCCCGGAGAAAATGGAGATTGACAGGAGGATACACGCCGAAGAAACCGTCAAATGACATCGCAAGCCAAGCCTTTGCTCAAGTGGAATCCGAATGGAGAGAGACGAGGTGGGTGAGAGTTCTAGCGTGGCATGGAGGAGGAGCAGATGAGAGACTATGACCAATCATTGGGAGAGGTGAATATAACAGTACAGACAACAGGACAAATTGGAGGTGTGCTGTTGAAGGCCTATGCTCCACTCGGAACCCGTGACAACAATAATGATAATAATAATAATCACGGTTTGTGAAGAAAAAGATGAAACCATCGTTTATTTCGTCAGTTCCTCATCTCATCTGCGTACAACCTAAAGAAGTTCATGCACAGAACAATTTTGAAATACTTGTAAATGACACAGTTGACAGGAAACTCTAAAGTTCTTCATAAACAGTGCTCAGAAAACTAAACTTATATACCTGATACACAGAAGGTTCAAGATCAAAGAAAGAAATAACCGCTTGGAAACAAATAGCAGAGAGATACCTTATCAAGACAAGAGGTGAATACGATTATGGAGTAACTAAAAAGTTGAGTAATAGATTGGTGAATTCAATTCAAAGCATAGCTTTCCAGCCATTTAGCTCATCTGAGGGTGAAGCTCACCATTGGTGTATGCCTCTTAGACTCAGATACTACTCATTCTTCTAGGTGCTGAACTCTCAACCATTCGGCAACGCATTCGAATCCCACCTTACCTACTGAGGTTTGGGCATCTATGTAGTATCACTAGCTCTCGCACAATATATGTAGTTAATTGTAAGATGCATAGAAATTCAAGCATGGTATGTTTCTTGCGCTATAAAAAGGCAAAGTATTTGCTGAAAGATTGTTGAGAGTCTGTACCTCAAGTCACCCTCGTAGGTTAATCGTGTGAAGCTGTCGACAAGTTCGTGTATCTAGACAGGTGTGTGAGTGCTGGACTTCTGATACACAAGACCTCCAACCGTAATATTGGAAACCAAAGTGACACACGCCAATTCTAACCACTTCTAGCATCGTCGTGATATCAGCCAGGCTGTCACAGGTCGGGTTCACAATGCTTCCGTGCACACAGTCTTGTACTACACCCGTGGAACTTGGCCTCTTAGAGTGGAGGATGTCTGGCGGCTCTGCGTATTCGACCATAGCTGTCTCCATGGAATTACTTGTGTTCGAATGCATTATCGTATGTCTGGACACGGTGAAAGTCACAACTCATTGAGCTTCGTCATCTGAAAACACCAGCTTCGCTGGTTTGAACATGTACTATGTATGTCATCCTAAAGACTTCCAAGCCGGTCTCTGTTCACTAGTCCTGGGAGTGGATGCGAAAAGCGGGGAGGTGATCAGCCTATGTGGTGGTGACGTGTAATGAAGGACATTTATCTTAGGTACATTAAGACTCCGTGGGTGAATCTGAGAGGCAGTTCAAATCGATGACTCGAAAGTTTATGAGATATTGCCAAAAACCGTAATCAATTTTCTTCTTCTGAAAGCAACATAAAGTGATGAATGTTGGATGATGATATTGATACATACAATTGTTTGTTCACTTTCTGGATAACGCCCCTCAATCATTGTGCATCCCTGTCTGACGCACCTCCCCATGTCCACAATCCACAAGGCAGGTGTTTTAAATACAATAAAATAAGGAATTCAAATGGTTCTTCAGTAATCTAACCTAACCTTAGCTAACCGTACATTCAGGTCAGACAGCCATCCGAATTCCCTATAGCTACTTTAATGAAAGCGGGTAATACAATGAATTACTGTCTATCTGTTTTCAACAAAGAACTTTGCAACGATGTGCATCAGTTCGAGTCGCCACACTCCCTCCATGTAGCACATAAAGCAAGAGAAGAAATACAAAATAGAGACAGTAAACAGACATATAAGACAAAAAGAATAATAATATCGAAGAAAAATGTAGTTTCATTGGGTATTATAAGTTACAAGGAGTGGAAGGCATCTGAGCCATCCAGTGAGAACGATTTCGAGCCATATAGCCAATTGTTTCCAGCCGCCATTGGTGTTTACCGTCCCGAGGACCCCAACCAGTCAGGAAGTCTACATCTTTCTACGTGACTGGCTGGCTTAAACTAACTGTTTTGCATTTCATTGATTGATGTTTTGGCTTGACCACCATCATTAGCTCTTCTACAAACTTACCTCATGTCAGCTAACATTCACCGTCCGTCGAAGAAGGCGATGACTAAGCATACGTAACACATGTCCTAACCATCTCAATCGATGTAACTTCACAACCTCGTCGACTGATTTCCCCTCCCTCTTCACCTAGCACTCGACGGGCGCCTAACCTCAATATTACTCAACCTATTACACCACCACTTCACACGGGAGATAGAACGCAGGCACTTATGATCAAAGACAGCTAGCCAGCCAGGCTTTTGATGTCTTATAGTGAATTACAAATTATAAAGTTCAAGGTGACAATTTCACTAAGGTTTTCTTTGAAGGTCAACCATTGCTATCAGTCAATCAATCAGTCTTATATACTATTTTCCTCTATTGCTCGTTTTCTTGACTGTTGTTCATAACAAGTATCAGACAGATCGCCTTTTGTGATCTGAATATATTTTTCTTTAATTTCCAAGGTAAAATCATGATAAATTTCCACCTTGAATTGAGTAATATGTGAATGCCATAAAAGCGCCTATAATCACATTGCCTTATCTCATATGGTCACTGTACGATGTGAGCGCTAAAACGCCAATATTCTACTCTAAACGACTGAAACCAAAGAAGAATTATTTTTATATTTATATGCTCAGTAATATAGATCCAACGGCACATGTCAAGTGATCCACAACGGAAAACTAAGCGAGGCGTTTCGAGTAAACACAGGAGTCAGACAAGAGTGCTTATTATCTATCACCCACGATGATATTCCTAATTGTGGTGGACTGACTGGATTATGCGTCAGACAGTGAGTGGGAAACGAGAAGACAGGAATATCCTGGACCGACTGGCGTGAAGAACCTAGAAGACCTGGAATCCGCGCGTGGGTGATTTATGTTATTTGATGTCACACAAAATCGAAGACTTACAAGCGAAAACCGACCGACAAACTGGTCGAAGAAGCAGCCAGGGAAGACTGGACACTATGTGAACATAGACAAGACGGAGGTTATGAAAATAAACAACCAACCAACAACAACAACAGCAACATCCAGCGTCAATCACCATCAACGGGAGGGATTTGAAAGAGGTCACTTCATAACCTCACTTATCTAGGGACCATTATCTCAACTACAGGAGGAGGAAGGGACGAGGATGTCAAATCGAGAGAGAATCGGGAAGGCCAGAAACACATTCATCAACCTGAAACAACCAATCTGGAAATCTTCCGGTCACTCAGCCAGAATGAACAACAAAATTCGGTCGGATTTTCAATACACACGTCAAGTCAGTCAGTTCTTCTATACGGATCAGAAAGTTGGCGGGCGGGTCACAAAGAATATTTCCAACAGCTTGTTGTAGACCTTTATCAACAACCGTCTTCGCTCTATACTGAAGATCAGATGTCCGGACCGGAAATAATCACCAACAAGAAACTATAGGCATTAACAAACAAAAGAAGAACCAATCGCCAACCAACAAATATGCAGGAGAAAGTTGAGATGGATTGGACACTCGCTTGCTGAGGAGACCGCCGCTAGGTGACATGGCGCGCGCGTCAGGCCATTTCTCGATTGGAACCAGGCCGAAAGGGAAGCACTCGGCGAGTGGGACGTCAATGCAAGGGTGACATGGAGGAGATCGTGTGAAGAGAGAGGAGATGAAACAGTATGAAAGGAATAACATTGATTCAGGTGAAAAGTACAGCAGAAGGAAGACAGAAGCAAGTGGAGACGTGAAGTTGAAGCCTTATGTTCCACTAGGTACCCAAAGGAACAATAATAATATTGTAATAATATAGATCCAGAATGAGCCAAAATCACTCATTAAAAAGTTATCAAATAACAGATACACTATGAGATCAGTCTATTCGATATAAAATTACAGTGATACAACATAACTATTATTTTTACTATTTTAACGAGTTGATCACGGATCGATATCAGTTAGAGAACCACCGAAAACCAGAACTGGAGTACTGGACAGCTGTTTCCGTTGTCCTAGTGCCTGGGAATCATCGGCAGTACGCACCCACCACACGGGGTTCGAACCCAGAACCTTCTGGTTACAAGGCAAACCCAAACTAGGGCGACGGAAACAGCTGTCCAGTACACCCTGGTCTTCAATGCTTCTCTAACTGATATCAATCCGTGATCAACTCGTAAAAACAAAACTAGTCCTTACAAACCAACTATAGAAAATATTATTATTATTAACTGGATGACGTTTTGAGCACTATTTATTGCTCAAAATCGCATATTTTTTTGATTGGACACCGTGTGGCAGCTTATGTCATACTTCTAGTCCTTGGTGGGATAGTACAGACTGATTTCTACCGTCAGTCAAGTTTACAATGTGGCCAGCATGATGCTGAATGGCTAACCATCACAGTGCACTCTGAACTGTTGTCACTAGAAAGTTGGAGGCAGCAATCGGCCACAGAAAGCCTTGCTTGACCTAGATTTTGTGCTAGCTGACACTCATCAGTCAGCAGGGTATATCTGCAGTCACGAAGGAGCTGATATCACTTCTGAAGCTCGAATCCCGGTCACCCAGTGCAGTGCTGCACAGTCAGAGATGCTACCACTGAACTATTTGGCCTCGTGTAGGACTACATTGAATACTTTGACTGAACACTAGGTGGCTGAAATACCTTAGTGGTAATATGTCTGCAGCAGTTAGCGGTACTGGTTTGAATCTCAAAAGAGATATGAGTTGCTTCAAGATTTTAGATATGTCTTGTTGGCTGACGATTGCCAACGAGGACGAAACCTTTGATTCAAGGTTTCCTGTCGATTACCACCAACCAACTAACAACATTTCATATCAGTTGATTCACACGCCTTCATAATTTGCTTTACACATTTTTCCTTCTCTTCCTCGTTACTCTACCACAGCGCTCAAATTCCACCCTTAGGAGATATCATGTCTTGTCCCTCTAACCACCGAGATAATGATAGATTTGGATTCATTTTAACTTCAATATACTTCAATATATGACAGTATACGATTAGTCACTTGAATACTATCCCCACATGAAAGTGAAGATTTATTCTTCAAGGAAAACGCAGCGCCTAATTATAAATTTACTTCACACAACTAATAAAAGATATACAATCCAATGGCTGTCAATTCATGAGGCAGTCCTGTAACTAATCAAATCCCTGCAAACCAACATTTGAATATCAATCGATGTTCACTAGTGACTAACCCTATTCATGTAGATAGTTACCTAAGTTCTAGTGGGAAGTTGTGACCAGTAGGGTAGAGCACATCGGATATGAGGACAAATACTCACCACCGATGATATTGGTTAGTGTGATTTGCGCTGTATCGTGAACTTAGCAGAAATTTGAATCCATCCACTGACTACTGGATCGGGTGCCAGTGGCTTAATGGTCGACGGAGCTCATTGGCTTTGTAACCGGAAGATCCTAGGTTCAAACACCCGTGGTGGGTATGTACTGATGAAGAGTTCAAAGCAACATCTGAATATACAAGACTACATTTTGACTGGTAAGGGGATGTAACAGTAAGAATCAAATGATGAAACCTGTATAATCAAGGCTAAGGCAAACGTTAACACCAGTTCACTATTCGTCTCCTCCCATCTTCACAGGCCTAGTTTCGGATTCTTCAGTAGCTCATGCTGGAACTCCCTTAAGGAACCAAGCCTATGATTGTCAACTCTGAATGATCTATGTTTTTATTCCTTTCGTTTTATGACACAGTTATAAAGCGTCATCTATGCCTAATTCTCCTTAGACCTGGTTACTTAGTTTTCAAAGGCTTAATAGCTTATAACTGATGACGTAAACATATGCCAACTATTTTCACTGACGTAAGATTAACATGTGTACAGAGAAAAAAATGAATGTCATTGCAAAATATACATGATCGGCATCTAAAGCAACTCGTTACCCCGTGGATTGGGCATTTTCACACTACAGTTTAACAGCTGTTCAACATTGTTTGGTTTTCAATAGTTTTCATTCTATCTCAAATCGATTTCAATAACATTTAACTTGAGAACAGTTTAAATCCTCAAAAAGCCAGTTAATTTGACTGATTAACTGGTTTCAACATAGAACTTTCCACAGATGTGAACCACTTTCATTTGCCACACCCCATGTAGCACACAGCAAAAGAGGAGAGTAAAGAGAGATTCACCAAAAGAGAGAGAGAGAGAGATTTTCAGTCATATCACTTAGCATCCCGAGGACATCAACCAGCCAGCCAGTCTACACCTACTTACATTCAACTACACATCTAGCCATAATAGAGTACACCTTCCAGGAAAGGGCATAAACTTTTGACAGACAACAATAAGCTTACATGAGGCACTGAGAAGTGTGCTTATTTCCCCTGAAAATCTGACCACAAATACACTTGAATTTGTCAGACTGACTGACTGGTTTCAACATGGAACTTTGAACCGATGTACACCAAGTTCTAGTCGCCACACTCCCTCAATGTACCACACAAGGTGTTACAAAGAACTAATGGTTGTCGATTGTTGGTGAAACAGATGGAAATCTTTCACAACGGCACAGATATGATCTTCATTATGACCTTCAGGATTCTGAACATTATTACTCTACATCTAATCATTGTTTCTTTATGCTTATATTATCTCATTAGGATATCATTTTGTTATTTTTGTGTTTTACCAAGTACCACAACCGAAATTGTACACCACTCATTCTCATGAAACCTCTAAACACAAAATCAAAGTCAAACTTTATCAGTAGACGAGTATCCTAGGTGACTAGTAAGCCGAAGCCTGTTGTGATAGAAATTTTCATTCGCCCAGTTTGAATACGATGATATATTATAATAATAATAATACCAAGACGCCAGATACAAGTCACCTATTAAACAAACTACAGAGTACTGGACAGATGTTTTATCCTCATTCCTGGGACTCTTCAATAATACGCACTAACAACCTCACCCGGGATAGAATCCAGGACCTTTAGATTACAAATGCAAGCTTGTTAACCGTTCATCATCAGTAGTTCAATAGAACAATACTCACCAACCAAGCGGAAGGTTCGAATGCCGGCCGACCCACTCTTACACCTCGGTTAGTCAGTAGTAAAAACACATAAAAGAGGGAAGATTGGGAATGAGACTAGTCACTTCAATTCGTGAAAGCAATATCACTGCTATTGTCTGTCTGTCTGTTTTCAACAAAGAACTTTGAACCTATGTGCAGCATTTCCAGTCGCCACACTCCCTCCAAGTAGCACAGAAAGCAAGAGAAGAAAGTAGAAGAAATGTGGTGAGAGCTGGCTGTTAGTCAAAATTGGTGGACAGTAATTTACGTCAATGTTTATGTCCCTTATATTGGTTGTGAGAAAGATGAGAACAAAGGCTTTGCGTAGGCGGATACAGTTAACATATAGATGATCTGACATTCAAGAAACAGCCACCAAGAGATGCAAGGTTAACTTTCTGTGAGAAACAAACAATCAGAAGACTGTTTTTCTGCTAACAATAATCTATAATATGTACATGAAAATCCATAAATATGTGTTGATTTCCATAATAAACGATCTGTTACCTGGCCCTGGTCTTCCGTTGTTACAGAAATGCACAATAGAGACAATAGACAGGGATATGAGACAAGAGGAATAATAATATCGAAGATCAATATAGTTTCATTGGAAATCATAAGTCACAAGGAGTGGATGCATCTAAGCCAGGCAGTGAGAACGATTTTGAGCCGTATCACCAATTGTCTCCAGCCGCCATTGCTGCTTACCGTCCCGAGGCCCCAACTAGGAAACCAGTGTACCTCTTCCTACGTGACTGGCTGGCTGGCTTAAACTAACTGTTGTGGATTTCATTGACTGGTGCCATGTTTCGGTTTGACCAGCCTGACTCTATGTCAGCTAACATTCCTCGTCCAGGAAGGAGATGGCTGGGCTAGGCATGCGTAACACATGTCCTAACCATCTCAGTCGAAGTAACTTCACAACCTCGTCGACTGATTTCCCCTCCTTCCTTACCTACCACTCGACCGATGCATAACCTCAATATTCCTCACCACTTCACACGGGAGATAGAACGCAGTCACCTATGATCAAAGACAGCTAGCCGGCCAAGCTTTTCATGTCTTCCACTCCGTATGGCCATGCCTCATTCACAATCATAGAGGAGGATGGAGAGGACTGTTGAGCAGTACACCCGCCCCTTGGTCAATAGCCGGATATCACGTCACTGCTAGTGAAGCCTCAAAGCTCCAGTCGGAACGCACACAAATGTAGAAAAATAAAAACATCAAACAAACCACAACTATTGTGTCAAGTTATGCTTGACAAATTATAAATTAGCACAAGACAATTTAATCATAAAATATAAATATATTTATATTTTGAAAAAAAGAAATAATCACAGTATTCACATCTCAATAGTTAAAGAAAAAAATCAGTTGACTAATAGAATCGAAGAATAAACCAACACATAAAGAATATAATACACACAAATATAATTAAATAGCAATATAAACTAGACGATAAATTCTGTTTAGCCATACGAGATAATCGTGACATTGTAGAGCGTAGTACACCTTCTGAGTGATCAAATGTTCCAGCCATATCACCGAGTAAATTATTCTGTGATCGTAATTCATCGCCTATTTTTATTGACAAACTACGCAAACCATGTACTTTTTCAACCAGTTCAAAATTTAAACGTTCATGATCATCATAGATAGGTGTTGATGATTTGTAATCAGGTGGATTATATGCCCCATAGTTGTACTGAGAATGTGAATGCCTATTCGAGTTTGGATACATTCGCTAGTTACACTTGAATTCCATCTGATTTAATACATATACAGTATAAATTGTCAAAGAACCTATTAAAAAAAACAAAAATAAAATTGGCTTAATTGTTGAAAAACAAAAGGTCCAAGAAGAATGACAACTGATTGATAAATGTTATGCGTACAGATAGAAAGCGTTTAAATACAATTAATTTTCACTACTAAATTATACACAGTGCGTCGGTGGTACAGCGGTTAGGACGCTCGCCGACCATGCACATAGTCTGGGGTTTGATCCTCGGCCGACGCACTCCTTTACCTCACTTAGCCAGTATTAAGACTAGTAAAGAGGGAAGGTTGGGCATGAGGCTAGCAACCCCAACCCGTAAAAATAGACACTGCTACGGAAACTTCAAGCCACTAGCTTGAAGCCCTGTGTTCCACTGGGAACGTTTAGCAAAGCGCAAACTGAGAGCATAAAAAATGGTACCACAATAAATCAACGTAAACATATCTAGACAAAAAGTAGTAATGTTCAGTAGTTCGAAGATCATAATGAGGGAATATATATATGTATGGCACTGTGAAAGATTCCTTTTTAAGCAAAATAAACAACCAATGATTTGTTGCATCACAGGGACATCAAGCAGGTGACCTACATCGCCATGTGGGTCTCACACCAAAAGTCAACGTTTTCATGCATTGATTTCATGTGTTTACTTTGATCATTGTGCTTATGGAAGTGTGTGGGTGACTATTAACTCCCGTTTACCTAAACCATGGAAGTTGACTTCTTCAAATACCAGAAATAGAAACAGTAGTAATGTCGCTTGTCGGCGGGACAACCGTTTAAGGCGATTTCCACGCCTTCCTTAAAGCGGAATTAGAGTTATATCTACATGAAGTTCTTACCCCCGAGTACGGGTCGCCACAACCTGATTCGTGACGCATAGCTTCCAGAATTTATCTTCTCTAACGTTACTAATTAAAGCTGGAAGACAGATAGCAGGCTATCAGGCCCTTCGAGGGGAATATCTAACTTACATCCCATCCTTACTCGCCGGTAATACTTCGCCCTTAGAACCCCACTCCTCTCTCAGCATTGTTTCGACGAATTACTCCAAGATGGCAATTGCTTTTAGTTTAACCGTTATTTAAACGACCTTTCTGGTATGACAGCAATATTCTTCCCAACCAGTGTATCCCGTTGAGTGAATGTGATATGCAAACCTGACAACTATATGAGCGCGACCATTGTATTTTTCCTCCCAAACTAATCCTACTTCAGTTGATATTGACTACCAACAAATTTGATGGTGCGGCATGCATAATTTTATGTCTCAGACACCTTGGTTTACATTACACATCTAACTCTAAATGTGGTCTAAACTAGGGTATTAGAGACAAATGTCTGAGTACACAGATACCCACCCCCTCTGTCTGTTGAATCCAGACAGACAGACCCTCCCAACGCCTCCACGTCAAACAACTGGAGTGCCAAACGAAGTATTTATACAAACAGTCATATCAGTTTTTATTTCCCCACCACTCCTCTAACCTCAAATAGCATACATCAGCCATAATAGAAGTCATAACCACTAAACATTTTCATAATTTTCAGAAACCACTCGCAGAATCAGGTTACTTTCACATGCTAAATAGATGGAATCTTTTTTGTGCAGAGTAAAACTTTCACGTTCCCTTCAGTACAAGAACGAGTACTTAGATATAATAATCAATGTCAAAGAGATATGCAGTGACAGATATTCGTGAAGGATATGAGAGTAAGAAATTGAAACATATTCTTACTTCAAAGTAGTATATAGCATTGATTTATACGACTCGTTCACATCGATTTCCGTTTATGTGAAAACTTTTGATCTCTTACAGACACCCGAAAAAAACATAACTTATTGAGCGCCTGGAATTAAAAATTCATCACAAATTTACTTAGTTTAGTTATCATATTTCAGAGTCATACAGCTCAGGTAATGTAGCCGACAAGATATTGTGTTCATTTTCGGCTTCTTCACCTCCATGCCAATCACAAATGTTGCAACCTGACAGAACAATCAGGTAGCAAGATTAGCACAAAACTAAAACTTATTTTTTAAGCCCACAGTAAATCAATTTGGAATTCTTAATTATCAAAGTTTGTATAACCACCTAGCAATATTAACCCCTAGCAACGAAACGTACAAACATCGAATAGATTTGTGGGGTACCCAAAAGCGAATATTCCCAAATTTGGTAAATGACACTGGTCTTCATATATATATATACCATCATAATAAAAGTATTCATAATAATCAGCTGAGGAAAAGGTTATGAAGAGAACAAACAAGAAACTTAACATTCCATCTGGATTTTTAACGTTACAAATAATCAAATACATCTAAGCACAATTAGAAGTAGATTAACACATCAACACCTAAATAAATATCACATCTTATTCCGCAAGTCATACCTGAAACACTTTCGAACGATTTAAGTTGATAAATATCCATTAGGTTTTATAATTTTAGCATATGATTATATTTCATTAAAATGATTAAATATTGATATTTTTCAGCTCTAAAATTCCTTCGTTTGTTTTTTGAACTACAAACAGTGAACCAATTTTGAAATAGCGATTAATATCTCCTTCACTTGATACCTTCGAAGAATAATTACCACACATTCTTAAATGTCATCCCAACTGGTTATAAGGAATGTATCACAGAAGCATTTACTCCGAGTCATTGTTACCTACGTATATGTAGTTCTACAATAATTAGATTTTTCAGCATATGATCACGGGGAAAAATCCGATAAATTACCATAACATTATAAAGTAGCACTTAAACTACTGAAAAGTTAAAATTATGGTGTGGTTTAAAGTTTTTCTATCTCTATCTGACACAATAAATAGACGTGAAACTACTCTAACATCAAACCAGGAGTTTTACCGTACAGTTGGGAAAAACACCCATCGGCAAGAGTAAACAATAAGCAACCATCTGTAATGCTGAGCTATCTGGTAGGTCAAATCAAGGTCGTCTGACTTTGGTGCCTTTGTTTACTCTTGTCTATCCATCACTAGTGAGAAACTGGCGCTGAAATGTTATCACAAAGGATTTGCTAACTAGTTTTATACCACAAACAGTCAATCGACTACACTACACGTCAACAGTAACGCATTAGCTGTAGAACCGCCCTCCTTGTGGGTCATTTCAATATCCAATGTCTTTGGGTCAAGCCACCATAAAGTATTTGATCTCTTGCCTGTTGTCATTATCAAATGATTTTGGATCTTTAGTGGGTTTCAATGTGACGGCTCAGCTGAAGACAATAAATAGAAAACGGTTAATGCATTCTGAACAGAATTTATGATTAATGTTAGTGCAGTGAGGCTAGTGAGACTATTAAGTTTCGTCCAGCTATGCATTCCTTGGAAAGGCGAAAACACTCCAAATGCACTTTTGGTGTAGAAAAAGCAAGGAAATCTAGGGAACGTACAGACGGAAAAAATGGAAGATAAGACAGAAGAGCTAAGTAAAAGACAACCGAGACTAAATGTGCACACGGAAAACGAGACAGACTATTAGGATGGCAAAATGGAAAACTCAGAATAAACACGAGATTTACCAAGCTAAAAATATGACACTATTGTTATATTTGCACGGTTAGTCACATCTAGCCTACCTCTTGCATAGATGGACACAAACATTTCATTTTAGCATAAGTCTTGGCTTCTCTTGATGGTATCAGCTGACGGAGTAGAGGCCACTCAAGAATGCAGTAAATTCGAAACGTTATGATTTAAAAAATGTAAATGGTGAGTCAGCATTCTGTCCTGCCCTCACTGGACAGGGGATACCCCAAGAGATACCGCATACCCATTCCAGTAATATCATTCAGTTACAGAAGTTTAAGATATGCACTGCGCTGTACGAGGTTATTAGGTTGTTATAGTTCTCCGATAATTGGCGTTAGGCCGATTTTGCGGTCCAATATGACTAACCTACTGGCGTCACTTCAAGCTGGTAATGGTTTCGGTCGCTCTCGTATGTACGCCCACCAAAAACACATTTAAATCTCACCTCACCGAAACACTGAGACCTGCACTGATTATAAACAATTCAATTTCTCAATGCGAAAATAGCGTGTCCAAACAATAATTCCTCAAGTTCGGCTTACACGCTATAAACCTGCTTTGTAACTAGTTTACCCTTAGGATTTATTTTACCATCGCTCTTCTTCGTACTTGGTGAGAAAAAATTAAACATGAATAGCGTTCACTTTCATTTTCGAATTTTTGTACATTACGAAATTTTTGGCCAACTCCCTAAAGCGCGATAAGAATGTAGCTGTAGGTAATTCCTCAGAATTATTGGCCACAGAATTTATCACTGAAAATTGGATGCTGACTCTTAATGTTTTAGTCGATATGTTTAGCTGAAGGCTTCCGGTCAGGCATCCACACCATTCGGCACTCTGTCGTGTTACGTTCTTTCGTTTGCGCACGAAAATGATCAAATATTAGACAGAGGAAACACCAAGAATGCCACAGAACTCATAGCCCCATCTAAAGCGCGAACTTGGAAATTAAACCTCTTGTTTGTTTTGCCTCTATTTATAATTTCAGACATTCATGACAATAACCCCCATACATATAAGAGTAAACCCAATAAGGTTACGAAATAAAAACGGTGAATCATAACCGACATACGAATAAACTATGTAAAAACAAGGTTGAAACTTACCGCAACATCACATGGAAAGATAATATAATACCTATTTTACATAAATTAGCATTCACATAATTGACATATCATTTGTACATGCATGATCCTATCTGACGAGTGCGATTTGAAATGCAAGTTACCTGGACATTATATATAATCCACCAACTGGTCTCCTTTCCAAAAAGAATGTGACTATGCTGTATCCACGGTGGCTAGCGAACACATATCCACAGTTCCCGTTGTACACACTCAGTGGAGGTAAGAGCCAACAAAGTAATGCATTTTAAGCATACGCATACTCCCCATTATCACAGCGATGCTCTGCGGAATATGTCAATATCACAGAGTAATCAAATCCTACACGAAATATCATTAATTAAATCCGAACGATGAACACGTTGTAGTACATATCTGAATATTCATCCATATGTTGATTATGATGACAAATCCATATGGCCACCCATACAGCGCCAATAAACCTGGATATCCGTAAATAACGAAAATATACTGACAGCTGCATTTCAGATCCCACTGACTCATTTGATGGTAACATTCTGCTTCTGCATGCTTCATTCGACATTTTGGTTCGCATTCACTCTGGTTCCAGACCGAAAAGAATCAAAAATCCACCGGTTGCTGAATCATTATTGCTTCTCTGCATGTATAACTGGATTCTAGCTGATGTGTTCACCATGGTGATCCTCTTGCGGATTGTATCGCTTGAAACATCGTTTTTATCCTTCACGTTCCCAGTGTAACATAGGGCCTCAAGCTAGTGGCTTGAAGTTTCCGTAGCAGTGTCTATTTTTACAGGTTGGGGTTGCTAGCCTCATGCCCAACCTTCCCTCTTTACTAGTCTTAGTACTGGCTAAGTGAGGTAAAGGGGTGCGTCGGCCGAGGATCGAACCCCGGGCCATGTGCATGGTAGGCAGGCGCCCTAACCACTACGCCACCGACGCCTAGAATTATATCATATAAATTTTTTTATGCAGTGTGCCTGCTGCCATTATTACATTACCTTCTTTTGTAGTCGTGTGTCAGCGAAGATTGTAAATATGCTTACTCCATGTATACATTATTATCATATTGATGATGGCTGACAAGTAGAGTCTGTCATGCGCATTAAGTGATAATATATCATTATGAGATGCATCTTATTGTTATATGAGTAAATTGACTTCAAGCTTTATTTATTTTCCCAAGTACCTGTAACCCACCCAACATATACTTGGTTTCATTTTGTTAATGAGAAGTCAATATCTCTATACTTCCGGATGTGGTCCGTTGAATCACTACTTAACAGAATTTCCCCACAAACCAAAGACAAAAAGACAGCAATTATGTAATTTAACCGTAAATCGTGTAGTTTGAATATGTAATTTAAATAATAGTTACCCATGCCTGTCAATGTAGTTGAAGATTGAACGATCAATTCATGGTTGTTTGCTCAAAACCAACTTCCCCAATTTTCGCAAAGGCATCAATACACCAGTCATTGTCTCATCGGTCGCTGTTCAGAAAGAAGTCAGGAGACAATCGTCAGAAGTAATATTGTGATTTATTGTTGTAATATTTGTTCATAGACCTTAGTTTTCAAGTTTAATTTTGAAGTTGTAAATGTGCAAAATTTTCTGTGTGATTAATTTTAATTTATAATTTGAGGAAATTAGATGCAATATTGTGATTAATGCTGAAAATTCCATTCTGTATCACAAGTACTGTTTTTGGAATAAAGCAAATCATTATTATTATTATTATTATTAAATTTGGCTATATGTTGGTGTTACAATAAAGAATACTCGAGTGGCCAATCGGTGTTTTGGTTTTTTCGTCCGTTATTACTAAGCGTTTCTGAGAAAATTCAAGGAACAGCATGAGTCCCAGCGTAGCAAGAGCTGGACATTGACGGTTTACGAGACGTGGCTGACAGGCATTGTCACATTTGGTGATTCTAGTAACTGAGTGAGTGACGGCTTGGAGCGTGTTTGGGTTACGCGCATTAGCCGATAGTCTATTACAATTAAATTGAGACTTAATTGAGCAGTAAACCTGATACTTCTGCATAATAAACAGGTTTTTCTGGTGTCTGTGATTGTGATTGATTCCAGAGCTGAATTTAGTTATTGGTCTGGAGAAATGTGGGACAAGATCGGGAAAACTGTAGTAAAAACTAAGACTTAGCTTCAGCCGCCCTTAATTTAAAAGTTGGCTTTCTTCTGGTGTTACAATAAAGAGTTCTCGAGTGGCCAATCGATGTTTTGGTTTTTTCGTCCGTTATTACTAAGCGTTTCTGAGAAAATTCAAGGAATGGCGTCAGCCCGAGTGCAGCATGAGCTGGGCATTAACGGTTTAGGATTCGTGGCTGACAGTTTCTGACGGTACAACGTCAGTTTTTAAACGGTTTTGGACAGTTTGCTCGACTTTGGATAGTCACCGTTCATCCTTGCTGGTGCCGGTCAAGTCCTCTTTGAACAAGCAATATCTGGAACTTTTTTGGAATTGGGTCAAAGAAGGGACAGATCGTCTTGGATACAAACAGGAAAGTAAGTCATGGTGACTTGTCTGTCACTTGTAACGATGTGCCTGATGTTAAGCATGACATGGTTGATGTTACTGTTTCGCCGTCCAGGGATAATAGGAACATCAAAATCCCTAAATTTGAACCAATGTGTTTCGATGGAAACCCGGCTGATTATTTACAATTTGTAAAGGAGTTTGAGATCATGCTGAGTAGTTTTCTATTAAGTGATGAATTGAAATTGATGTATTTGATGAGGTATTGCACTGGAGATGCTTCAAGAGCTATACAGTGCTGTATGCTCATGCCCCCTAATGAGGGATACGCTAAGGCTATGAGCATATTACGTCAAAGGTTTGGAAGACCTTCGATGATTGTAAGGAACGTATTCGAAGCTGTCAAAGGTAACGGCAGTCAACTACAAGATGACTCCAAGGCACTTACTGAGTTTTCGGATAATCTGATGACTTATAAGAATACCTTGATTTCTATGAATTGCATGAGTGACCTTAACTACAGCTCAGTCCTAGAGGTAATTGCGAGATGCCTACCTACTTGGCCGCAAAGGAAGTGGGTGAAAATAAACCCTCATATAGAGGATGAGGGTATCGAGCCAAGGTTTGATGATATTCTGAGACTGGTGAAGGACAGTGTAAATCAGGCGATGAGGAAGTTTGCCAGTATATTGAATCTCACCCCTGGAATAGAGCTGTCTGAGGGCAAAACGCAATCATTGATGACGAATAGGCCTCAGAGAGGTGGATATCGAGAAGGCTCCATGATGTCTAGTAATGCGTATAGACCTAGTGAGTGTAACAGGTTTCGTAGTACATCCTCAACAGATAAGCTACAAGATGCAAGACAAACACGGTTGTGTTTTACACGTTTGCAAGAGGTGCATAAAAAGGTGAACTGTGAATCAGTGATCAAGTTCAGTGATAAGCTAAATGTAAACTCCAGGCCTGACT